TCGGAGGGGGGAATAAAACGTGATCTGCTAGCGAAACACAACATATTAAGTACGCCGAATCATCCGAACATGCACACTTTTTCTCATTAAGAATTATCGCAACTCGGAATGCTCTCTCAGCCGAAGTGACCACAGCCGCCTCCTCAGTGGATAGCTTCAACATGAGGCTTGACAAACACGTACTCACATACCAATTGTCTCCTCCCGTTTCGACCAGCTGTGCCTGATGCATGTCTCGGAACTTGCTACTTCTTGTTATTGTCGTTTGCTCAGATCACTAACTTATTCTATCTCGCTTAATTTCTCTGTTTCCTCCTGCTTGCTTGCTTACACTTCTTTCCTCTCGCACAATCTTCACTACCAATTCTTCATATAGAAACTGATTAATTATTAATTAATTAATTAATTAATTATTAATTAATTAATTAACTATTTATTTATTTATCTGTTGATTAAATTTTCGTTCATTCACTCACATTACTCATTCACTCACTCACTCACTCACTCACTCACACACTCACTCGTTCATTGATTCATTGATTGATTCATACGGTGATTCTATCATTGATTGATTTATTCATCTACGTGGTTGTGAAATCTCCTTGTCATTATTAGCATTAGAAGTTTCTGCTGATTATTCTGCACATTGCAAGTAACTGATCTCCTCCGACTTGGTAATGTGATCGCTGGTGGTATTCAGAGAGCCTCCTGCTCTGAGACAAACGCACTCAGTGAAATCACGGGATATACAAATTGCTAAACAACTGCCAACTGACTGGAATTAGTGCGGTTTTCTGGGCTGACTGCCTTCATCGTGTTTAATTTTTCCAGAATTTTCGCTCAATGTCTTGTTTTATTCTGGATTTTCGCAATTTAAACTCTCCTCAGCTAGAAATATAATCATAGAATTCGTTTTTGATTTCACGTGATATGAAAATAATATCACATGTTTAGCCTGATTATGAGATAACACGAATCAGTCGATAAGTTCACAGGGTACTCGACGTTGGCTTTTCTGTTTTGTCTTAAAATACAGGTTAATAATATGTGTCCAATGAAACATTTATTGTTACACATTTTCAATCGAATGTGTTTTTGTATCAGTAATTATATTTTCTTCACAAAAAAGTTCCACTGCAGTCTAAACCACGTTGTTGATTCTTAATTGGAAACCTTGATCTCGTTGGACCATTTTGTTAATATACCTTAATCTTCAGTTGATAGTTTCCCCCTTAGTGTACATAATTTTTTATCACTGCACGCAAACACTAGAGAGAAAGCAAGACAGCACTCGTCATACTCCCAAAATGACTATTAAGCTTGTTAAGAATAGGAGCACAAGACGTTCTAAGGCTCAGTCGATACAGTCTAACATCCAGATACCACGTAAGGATGACTGTTTCGCCTGCTCATTATCAGTCAAAATCAGCGACCTTGCTTTCGAATGCAACTTCTGTAGTACATGGGTACATTATCAGTGCGACACTACAGTACCTAAAGTGTACTACGGGTTCACGCCAAATCACCCCCGTATATATTTCTGGTATATTAGCCCTCGGTGTAGCGTATCTGAGGCACTGACAAAGCCACAGGTCCCACCCAAAATCAGCCCTAAAGTCAAAACGACCAAACCGAAATCGCCTGGCACTAAACCAGTAAAACAAGTGACCAAAACTACCACAACCCTGCCTAACACACCGACAAAACTGCCGGTTTTTGTTAACCCCCCCAGTATCTACCAGCAGTACGGAACAGTGGGTAAACGTGAAGAAGGGGAGTAGCAACAACCCAACTCACAAGCCGCTACCACCCAAGGACAGAGAAGACAGATTAACTTCACTTATTTTATTTAATGTCCCAGTATCTGAAGGAAGCTTGCTAGAAGGTATAGCTGCCTTCGACAAAGAGCAGTGGAACAAACACTGCAAAACCCTTAGAATGTGCGACGTCCCAGCCAAAATATGCCGCTTTTTCAAAGACCAAAATGTCTCGAAAGGAAAAACCCCTCGAATGAGGTTAACTCTTGACTCGGCATAACTTGCTGAAGACATTATCCTTTCATCCTTAAGACCGTAGGTCAAATTGTCCTCGCCGATTCGCGTCAGGCATGACAAGCCGTGGTCGGTACGTGCAGCAGCCAGGACTACGCCAGGCGCCCAAGAGCAGGCCATTATGGGAGTTCACGGTATACCCGAACTCGCTGATGGTAACCTGTACGAAGCTCACTAGCACGATGTGCAACAGTGGCGATGGCTGTCGCGTAGCCTATCCTTCCACACCACGATGGCAGTTTGCATTTCTAGGTTGCCCCGCCCGTCACACCTGACGTCCATCAAGTCACCACGCCTGATGGCTGTGACATTTAGGAATCGGGAAGACCTGGCTGAAACACTACAAGCTTGGTACAGTTTGAGGAGCAATCTGTCTAGTCACATCAGGTGTTGCGAAAACCGACCTAGATCTGTGAGACAACAGCAGGGAGGCCACAATGAACTCACAAAACTGACAGTTAACCTCGGTCAACAACCCCTGGCAGAAGATACGATTGAACTCACTGCACAGGCTAAAACCCTGCAGAAGCAAGTTCCCACAGAACTGGTCGATTCGGTTTGAATAACTGAAACATGGCTATCCCTTGACATTGCAGACGCAGAAGTCAGCTTGCCAGGCATGACAATCTTCCGAAGCGATAGGGTGCACCAAACTGGAGGCGGAGTGGCTATATATATATATATATATATATATATATATATATATAAACAGCCACTTGAAAGCCGAGCGGCTATAAGACACTCAACTAACTGAGGTGACAGAATCATATTGGTGTTGTTTCCACACAAATGATACAAAATACTTGATTGGAGGGACTTGCCGACCTCCCTCGGGTACCAAAGCCCAGAAAAGCAAACTGACTGAGGTAATACCGCAACTGCCACTCCCGTCAGTGGAGTGCTTTAAGAAGAGACTTGATAATCACCTACTCAAATACGGACTATCATCTCCCTCTTGGACAAGCTGTGCCTGATGCATATCTTCAGACCTGCTAGTTGTTACCATTGCCATCTCCTCAGATCACTCAATTAATCTATCTCGCCCATTATCTCTGTTTCCTCTCCCTTTCTTACACTTCAGTCCTGTAGCACAATCTACACTAACAATTAGTCAATAAATTAGACATTTATTTACTTAGTTCGTAAATTTTACTGCTGTTAGTAGTGTTACGTCCAGTTTTTTGCTCGTTGATCTTACGAAGCACGGTTGTCGACTATTTGTAATTCACGGTCCCAAATTTCTAAACCAAGAACGAAACGCCAAAGTAGATACCAAAGTTTATTCCAAATCACAAATTCCACCAAAATACTGTATTACAAATAGACGACCAATGTCGTTCTAACAACAATAATTATAATAATTACAATTACCTTCTAATTTATTAGCTCTTGGAGCAAAAAACTGCAAACGAACAACAAAGAGAAACGGGAGTCCAAAATGTCCGCAAATAATAATTCAAACAAGTTCACAAGTTAAGTAAAACAAATGTACCCAAAAACAGTGAAATTAATGATATTTATACATGAAGGTTTTGATCAGCAAAATGTCTTCGTTTCTCCCGTAACATAGTAGCATTAGGATTTTCTAAACATTCTTTCCTCACTGCAACTAACTAATCTCCTCCGACTTGGTAATGTGATCGCTGGTGGTATTCAGAGAGCCTCCTGCTCTGAGACAAACGCACTCAGTGAAATCACGGGATATACAAATTGCTAAACAACTGCCAACTGACTGGAATTAGTGCGGTCGAGTGACTAGACTACTGTCAATCGGACTTTCACGATCACATACCTGGAACCGTATCGAAAGAACAACAATCGAGTGCAAAGAAATCTGTTACTTCAGTTCTTGTTTACTTCGTGTTTAGCCAGGAGGTACCTTGTGTGTTATGGGTGTGTGAGATGATCTGTCAGAAAAGGAGAAGAGAAGAAGATGAGACGACCACTCAGTAAGCACATAGAATGCATTTACATTCAATGGAAAAATCAACAGACAGTTATGAGAAATAAGACTAGCAAGAGATCAAGACAAACTGATAAATGAAGCTAGTTGTTAGAGTAAGTATTTGAATGAGTTACAAATCAATTGGTTTATATTAGCATGTGGAAGAGATATTGGGTATTGGGTTTTTGCTCCAGGAACCTATAAAATTGAAGGTTTTTATAGTTATTATAATTATTGTTGTTAAACCGACATTTTGGTCGACTATTTGCGAATTGCGAGGTGGGGGGTGTAATGACGTTGTGAACCTCCAAGTGTGGGTGCGCGTACGTCTTAAACAGGGTTAAAGATAATTGCGGGGTGATAGCACCAAGTTGTCTTCACATAAAGTGAAGAGTCGCATTCGCCTTGGCTGCGTCCCCTACATAGTTTGGACTGGTGTGGAGGCTTTCTGTGGTTATTAAACCAAGATCGCGCTCTGAGGAGACATTAGGGAGCGGAATTCCATTGAGAGTATAGGTCGTTTGCGTCGTGTGAGGCAGAATATGCATGACGTGGCACTTCGGTTGGTTGAGTTTCAAACCGTTTTTTTCACTGCCCATTTCTCAATAGATGTAAGGTCCTTTTGAAGCTCAGTCGAATCCTCTTCGTTTCTAATGGACCTCCAGATCTTCGCATCGTCTGCGTAGATCAATGCCGGTGAGCTAACTGAGTCTAGCAGGTCGTTAATAAATATCAGGAAGAGGAGTGGGCCTAGGATACTCCCCTGTGATACTCACGAAGTGGATACAATATCTAATCAACAGAAGAATCTCAAAACCGTTGGAGTAAACAGAGAAACTAGGCGAGATAGAATAAGTTAGTGATCTGAGGAAATGACAATAACAAGAAGTAGCAAGTTCCGAGACATGCATCAGACACAGCTGGTCGAAACGTGAGTAGCCAATTCGTATGTGAGTACGTGGTTTTTAAGCCTCATGTTGAAGCTGTAGTGGTATGTCTTAACGGAAAAGCACAATCGCTGAATTTAGCATATATTGTTGTACCCAATTGTGACAATAATTTTTGTATTGTTCACCTCTTGTTTATCTGTGCTAAAGACTATCTCTCGAGCTTCAAGCGTGTATTTTATTTTTGGCCTTCTTTCTCGCACGTTGTAATCAGCTGTTGTATCCTAGTCTCGTGATTTTTTTCGATGTCATGAGGCTAGCATTAAATATACTCCTTCTACTAGGGTCGCTTTTTATCTGATTGCTAGAGTAACGGGACTGACATCCGTTATCCCGCGAAGTGTTATGTTTAATAGGTACTACTACAATGGCGAGAAACTGCTAGGAACACGCAGCAAATTAGGTGAGTCTGTCATTTCTCAATTCCATTTTCTTACTATTTTAACTGTTTTTTAATATATATTGTTATTTTATACATATCTATTATCAATATAACAGCGTTTGAAAATGTTAGATAGGCCTAGAAATGACGAAAACTTAGCAGACTGTCAGATACAGGTTTTTAATTCTGACATGTCGCATATCTTCACCACGACCCAGAGGTATGGTTCGCGGCACTGGTATCTCAATTTGGGATCTGCCGCATCACGAAACAGTGGCAAATGTTTCTTTATGACCTGGAGACCATATCTCGTACCGAATCGCAGGGGTACTTAATTCGTATGATTAGATATTCCACGCTTTACTCCAGCAATTTCCACAGCTAACTAAACCGCTCGAGGAGAATCTATCGATGGCTCATCATGTGGTACACATCATCACCCACAGATCACCCGTCATGGCACGACCTCTCCGACTGGCATCGGACAAATTAGCTTCCGCTAAACGTGAGTTTGACAGTTTACTAGCCACAGGTATTATTCATCTTTCTCGCAGTCCTTGGGCCTCACCGCTCCACGTGGTTCGCAAAAAGGATGGGATAAATTGGCGACCATGCGGCAAATCCCGAGCATGAAACGTAGTAACATGTTTCGATAGCTATCCCATACAAGACATCACGGCATCCGCCATTAGCACGACTACTTATTTTAAGATTGATCTGGTACGAGCATATCATCAGATCCCAGTCGCTCTTGAAAATATTGTGGAAACTGCAGTAAGGCGTCTCGCTCGGACAACCGGCATCTGCAGCGATGCTGCCTTCTCACAAGGAAGGAAGGGTTGGAACAGGTCGACCCTAAAATTGTCACACCTCACCCTACCTCACGGATTTTCGTCTCCGGCGATGAGGGTGCCCACTAAGGGCTTCAAAAGAGCGGAGCTAATACTCAAAAAACTTTTATTAAAAAGGCCGTGCGTGGCCGGCCTCAAGCAGTTGTCCCCTGAGCTCCGCAGTCACGCTCTCAGGTCTCAAAGATCAACGACAATCTACCTTTCTTTTCAGGCTCCTCAAGAAACAACCTCAGTCAGTCAGTCAGTTGCAACGTAGAATTTCGTACGTATGTACATAAGTTCATGTTGCCATACCACATTAGCACAGAGACGCAAATGTCAAATCAAATCCCATAGTGATAAAAGGAGTAGAGGTATTAATCGTTATGAAGAAGACTAGGGTTTGAAGATATAGTTCAAGAAGTATGATTCAGTGAGATAAGGTTAGAAAGACAAAAGTAGAGGTGCTGACGAATCCAGAAGTTTAGGATATGGGAGAGTTCAACGAATGGATGCACTTGCGCCATTGCAAACGATTTTGAGCCATGTCGTTCAAGGTCTCTAACCATTGGTGACTTTCGTCTCGCGGACCCCAACCAGGTAGCCTACATCTACCAACATGACTCAGTCCACTTGTCAGTGATTTCATGGATTTGTGCCATGTTTTGGTCTGGCCGCCCCTAGCTTTCTTCAAACCTACTCCAACACCACAAAACATAGCTCGTCGAGGCAGTCGGTGGTTAGGCATACGTAACACATGTCCCAACCACCTCAACTAATGAAGTTTCACCACTTCATCTATTGATCTGCCGTCCCTAACTAGTACTTGTTTCCTAACGACATCATTGCTTACTCGGTTGTCCCACGTTATACGAGCAATGCTTCTAAGACATCTATGATCGAATGGTAGTAACCTAGGAACATCTACTCTTAACGGTCATGTTTCGCATCCATATAGAACGGAGCGAACTGCTGCGCAGTACACTCGTCCTTTCATTAGCAAATGGATATCTCGCCTACGGCCTAAATTGGCGAAAGCAAACCGAGTTTTCTGTATCCGCGTTGAGATTTCGTCAGTCACCAGGCCATCAGCGCTGATGCCGATGCAACCCAGTCTTGAAGCAACATTTTTCATTTCGAGGGGGAAAACCGCATGCCGAACATGCTTGCATTGTTGCTTATGGTAGTCAGAAGACTGCATTTTGTCAGCGTCTTCACCGAATAGAACTATGTCATCGGCATATTCTAAGTCAGCAAGCGTGGCTTCTGGTAGAAGGTCAACCCCTGAAAAATCTAATGAGCTTAATGTTAACTCTAAGAGGATGTCTACGACAAAGTTAAACAAAAATGGAGAGAGTGGACAGCCCTGATGGACACCACTTAATGTAGAGAATTCGGATGACAGTTTGCCATAAGCTCTCACTCGACCAGTGGTGTTCGAGTAGAGAGCTTGTATGAGGTTAATGTACTTCTTTGGTACACCTTTCAATGACAGACACTGCCACAGAACCTCACGATCCACTGAGTCGAATGCCGCTTTTAGGTCCAGTAAAACAACTATTGTCGGACGTCTAAATTTGTATCTGTGTTCCAGGACCTGTCGTAGTGTGAAGATGTGGTCTATACAGCCACGTCCAGGTCTGAAACCAGACTGATTTTCTCTAGTCTGCTCTTCACGAGCTCTAGTTAGACGTCTAAGTATAATTGAGGCTAACAATTTAGAAACTATATTAGTTAGACTTATTCCCCTGTGGTTGTCACAAGAGGACTTTTGTCCTTTCTTGTAGATTGGGACAATTAGCGACTGAGACCAGTCAGATGGGATTACGTCCAGTTCCCAGATTCTACCTAAGATCTCAGTCAACCTAGCTGCTAAAACTGGACCACCATCCTTAAACATCCCAGGGGTAAGCCTATCAGGACCTGCTGCTCTACTTCGCTTTAGATTCCCTATAGCTTTCTCAACTTCATGTAGACTGGGAGGACTTAAATCGATTTACCATTCAGGATGACTGGGGATCGTGGGCAACCGAAGTGTGGCTAAAGACCAGTTGAACTGGTCCCTAACATGTTCTGCCCATCAGTCCAATCTCCTGGATTGAGAATGGATAATAAGACCATCCTTTTCCGAGATAGCCTCACTCACATTCGGATTCCTAATACCGGCTTCTTTAATAAGGCGGAAAAGTTGTCTAGTGTTGCCTATCGCCGCTGCCTTTTCCATCGCTTTTGCTTTCGCCACCCACCACTGTTCGCGATCGTTACGTAGGCTTTTTATCAGTCTGCGCCTAAGCTGACTACGCTCTTCATCATGTTCAGAGTCAGGTGGGATGCGTTTTTGAGCATCCATCAGTTCAGTGGATGCGACTGAAATCCACGGCTTCATCCTAGCCTTATGGTTTACCTTGCTAGCAGATATCACTGCTGTTCCCACAGCCTTTTTGCTATCATTCCAAGCTGCCTCCGGATGAGAATCACTTGCATGGTCGCCCAACTGTTTTTCTAGTTCCTCATGAAATGTTTTCTTAGCTTGATTATCATTAAGTAAAGCCCTAAGAGGCTTCCTTACGGTGTCTTTCCTACGTCCAGTAAGCCTCAAACAAATACGCGCTCGCACTAGAGTATGATCTGAATCTAATCATGTGCCCCAAAACGAGTGACAGTCCTCTATCGAACCCCTCCATCGGTGGCTGGTAACGATATGATCTAGTTGAGACGACTTTGGAGGTCGCCAGGTCAAAAGACGTTTTTCCTTATGCTTAAAATTAGTGTTTGCTAGAAATAGGCGGTTATCTGAGCATACTTGCAACAGACGGTCGCCATTGTCTGTTCTCTGAGCCGCAACACCATAACATCCACCTAGGTGTCTTCCATTTTCACTTAGTCTACTTACTTGAGCATTGAAATCACCGGCCATTATAACTATATCAGAGCGCCTAACTTTTTGGAGGAGGTCCGAAAGCTTTGTGTAAAACTCATCTTTTACATCATCTGGACTGCAGTCAGTGGGAGCGTAGGCTGATATGACGAAGAGGCAACGACGAGTGTCTCTATCCTTTCGAATCCTGACTGTCCCGTTTAGTCGTACGGGGCACAAGCGACTATCTACAGGGATCTAGTCTGGGAGAGATCTGCCCTACAACTCAATGCTATACCTACACCAGCGAGACCCCGGGAAGCAGCATCAGGGCTACCGGATATACGAAGGGTGAATGGAGTTGCTTCTTTGTTTTGACAAGGCGAAATCAGATTAATGACTTTACTAGGATCCTGTATGCGCGTTTCCGAGACGCAGCACACATCGATTGAGCGAGATTCTAATGTTCTAGCTAACGAAGCCTCTTGCCCTATTTGACATTATGTACGTACATTAATTGCTCCAACATGTAGTCTAGAACCACTCACTACGAGAGTCCAGACATTTGGATTATATATCTCACTTCACGACAGACCGTCATATTTAAGGTGAGTCGAACTATGTTGCCGACGCTCTCATGTATTCAAGTAAATGCAGTTACTCTATCAGTGCTCGATCTTCCTGTTATGGCCGCTGCCCAAGCATATGATCCCTCTTGTACAGAAGCACAACAATCGATATCCCTTCAGTGCCGGGAAGTACCACTAGCGACCACCTCAGGTACTATCCTGTGTGACAACTACTGGTTTACCCCGACCCATTGTACCTTCTGCTCATCGTCCTCTCATCTTCGGTGCCCTCCATGGATTGTCTCATCCAGGTATTGTAGCTACACTACATCCCATCGCTGCAGTCACTCAGTCAGATGCAACGCAGAATTTCGTACGTAAGTACATCAGTTTATGTTGCCATATCACATTAGCGCAGAGATGTAACTATCGATTCAAATCCAATAGTAGTAGAGTTAGTAAAGGTATTAGAAGTAATCGGAGAGGTTAGGATTAGAAGATATTATTCAAGAAGTATGATCCCATCGCTGCATGATATGTCTTGCCTTCCATGAATAAAGATGTACGTATGTGGGTAAAGCAATGCTTACAATGTCAACGATCAAAAGTGCACAGGCACGTAGCCGCCCCTATCGGCACATTTGCTACTCCTGATGCTCACTTCGATCATGTTCATATTGACATTGTTGGACCGTTGCCACCATCGCATGGGTATGATCACATATTCACGTGTATCGATCGTTTCACAAGATGGCCCGAAGCATCTTCCCATCATATCTATTACGGCGGAAACAGTTGCTCGCTGCTTCGTAGAACGATGGACAGCTCTGTACGGTTGTCCCCCGACTGTCACAACGGACCGAGGACAACGGTTCGAGTCCGAATTATTCTCCTGCTTGATACGAAGCGCATATGCACTACCGCCTACCACCCAGCTTCGAATGGTTTGGTCGAAGGGTTTCACCGCCAACTTAAAAGTGCTCTTCGAGCACACGAAAACAACCATTTGTACGAAACCTTACCGCTCGTCCTCTTAGGTATCAGAACAAGTTTAAAGGCAGATATTCAATGTTCCGCCGCTGAATTGGTATACCGCACGACGTTGCTTCTGTCTGGGGAATTTTCCACACCTTGGAGCAGTGATAACTTCAATAAATCGGACTACATCCAGCGATTGTCTGAAGGATTTCAACCGTACTTCTTACTTGGCATTGCGAAACAGATGTAATATCAACGTTTAGAGTTATAGGAGATACTTTCAGATGAATCTAGTTGTCAAAATTCATGCAAACTCTAAGCATCAGTTTAGCTTCATAACAAAAAAGCCCAAGAATGAGGGTGTTGATTTGCTTAAAGGTCCGAATGCCGAAGATCTAACCAACCTAGTGATGGCTGAAATTTATACCACAGTCTTCGTCGATCACTCCAATACCCAACATCTCTTCCACATGCTAATATAAACCAATTGATTTGTAACTCATTCAAATACTTACTCTAACAACTAGCTTCATTTATCAGTTTGTCTTGATCTCTTGCTAGTCTTATTTCTCATAACTGTCTGTTGATTTTTCCATTGAATGTAAATGCATTCTATGTGCTTACTGAGTGGTCGTCTCATCTTCTTCTCTTCTCCTTTTCTGACAGATCATCTCACACACCCATAACACACAAGGTACCTCCTGGCTAAACACGAAGTAAACAAGAACTGAAGTAACAGATTTCTTTGCACTCGATTGTTGTTCTTTCGATACGGTTCCAGGTATGTGATCGTGAAAGTCCGATTGACAGTAGTCTAGTCACTCGACCGCACTAATTCCAGTCAGTTGGCAGTTGTTTAGCAATTTGTATATCCCGTGATTTCACTGAGTGCGTTTGTCTCATAGCAGGAGGCTCTCTGAATATCACCAGCGATCACATTACCAAGTCGGAGGAGATTAGTTAGTTGCAGTGAGGAAAGAATGTTTAGAAAATCCTAATGCTACTAACAGCAGTAAAATTTACGAACTAAGTAAATAAATGTCTAATTTATTGACTAATTGTTAGTGTAGATTGTGCTACAGGACTGAAGTGTAAGAAAGGGAGAGGAAACAGAGATAATGGGCGAGATAGATTAATTGAGTGATCTGAGGAGATGGCAATGGTAACAACTAGCAGGTCTGAAGATATGCATCAGGCACAGCTTGTCCAAGAGGAAGATGATAGTCCGTATGTGAGTACGTGATTATCAAGTCTCTTCTTAAAGCAGTCCACTGACGGGGCTGTAACTACCTCGGCTGGGAGAGCATTCCGAGTTGCGACGACTCGCAATGAGAAAAAGTGTGCACGAATATGAGTATTTGCTCTTTGATGTGCAATCTTTCGAGGATTGTCTCGAGGGGAGTGGTGGTGATGCATCGGTAAGATGCTCATGTTGGGATGGTTTGGCGTGCTTAATATGTTGTACGCCATGATCAGATCACCTCTGATTCTCTTGTAGCTCAGTGGAAATAATCCCAAGTGCTGGTGTCTTTCGTCGTAAGGCTTATTTTTCAACCCTATCACCCATTTGGTTGCTCGTCTCTGCAATCGATCCAAGAGATTTATGTCTCTTATAAGCAGAGGGGGTGCAATGACGTTGTGAACCTCCAAGTGTGGGTGCGCGTACGTCTTAAACAGGGTTAAAGATAATTGCGGGGTGATAGCACCAAGTTGTCTTCACATAAAGTGAAGAGTCGCATTTGCCTTGGCTGCGTCCCCTACATAGTTTGGACTGGTGTGGAGGCTTTCTGTGGTTATTAAACCAAGATCGCGCTCTGAGGAGACATTAGGGAGCGGAATTCCATTGAGAGTATAGGTCGTTTGCGTCGTGTGAGGCAGAATATGCATGACGTGGCACTTCGGTTGGTTGAGTTTCAAACTGTTTTTTTCACTGCCCATTTCTCAATAGATGTAAGGTCCTTTTGAAGCTCAGTCGAATCCTCTTCGTTTCTAATGGACCTCCAGATCTTCGCATCGTCTGCGTAGATCAATGCCGGTGAGCTAACTGAGTCTAGCAGGTCGTTAATAAATATCAGGAAGAGGAGTGGGCCTAGGATACTCCCCTGTGAAACTCCCGATGTGGATACTCTTTAACTCGCGTGCACTCTGTTTACCTTGGTGCGAAACTTTCTATTCTCAAGGTAGTTTCTGAGCCAAGATATAAGTGGGTCAATGAAGCCCATTTCCACAACCTTTTCGATTAGGCGTGAGTGAGGCACTATGTCAAAGGTCTTTGCAAAGTCGAGGAATATTACGTGTACCGGTATTTTACGGTCTAAACAGGATGTCCAACTGTCCCATGCGATGAGGAGATTAGATGCACACGACCTGCCTTTCCGAAACCCGTGTTGAGCATCATGGAATATTTTATTCTTTTCCATGTACTCTCTCATTTGTTCGTCCACTAGCCCTTCCATAACTTTTGATAATATTGGTAGTAGTGTGACTGGTCTGCAACAGTTTGGGTCCTTTCTATCTCCTCCTTTGCAGATTGAGGAGAGAGTAGCTTGTTTCCATTCCGCTGGGAGTTGGTGTGACTCCAGTGAATGCCTGAACAGATCACATATCGGTGAACAGAGGACTTCTGCACATTGTTGCAAGACTACGGGGCGAATTTTGTCACAACCTGGTGACTTACCTGGACGTATGGATTTTTTTCCCGCAGTACTTCCATGGCCATGCGGCATGTAGGACTACCTCTCTCATGCGCGTCCCCTGTTCACCGATATGTGACCTGTTCAGGCATTCACTGGAGTCACATCAACTCCCAGCGGAATGGAAACAAGCTACTCTCTCCTCAATCTGCAAAGGAGGAGATAGAAAGGACCCAAACTGTTGCAGACCAGTCACACTACTACCAATATTATCAAAAGTTATGGAAGGGCTAGTGGACGAACAAATGAGAGAGTACATGGAAAAGAATAAAATATTCCATGATGCTCAACACGGGTTTCGGAAAGGCAGGTCGTGTGCATCTAATCTCCTCATCGCATGGGACAGTTGGACATCCTGTTTAGACCGTAAAATACCGGTACACGTAATATTCCTCGACTTTGCAAAGACCTTTGACATAGTGCCCCACTCACGCCTAATCGAAAAGGTTGTGGAAATGGGCTTCATTGACCCACTTATATCTTGGCTCAGAAACTACCTTGAGAATAGAAAGTTTCGCACCAAGGTAAACAGAGTGCACGCGAGTTAAAGAGTATCCACATCGGGAGTTTCACAGGGGAGTATCCTAGGCCCACTCCTCTTCCTGATATTTATTAACGACCTGCTAGACTCAGTTAGCTCACCGGCATTGATCTACGCAGACGATGCGAAGATCTGGAGGTCCATTAGAAACGAAGAGGATTCGACTGAGCTTCAAAAGGACCTTACATCTATTGAGAAATGGGCAGTGAAAAAAACGGTTTAAAACTCAACCAACCGAAGTGCCACGTCATGCATATTCTGCCTCACACGACGCAAACGACCTATACTCTCAATGGAATTCCGCTCCCTAATGTCTCCTCAGAGCGCGATCTTGGTTTAATAACCACAGAAAGCCTCCACACCAGTCCAAACTATGTAGGGGACGCAGCCAAGGCGAATGCGACTCTTCACTTTATGTGAAGACAACTTGGTGCTATCACCCCGCAATTATCTTTAACCCTGTTTAAGACGTACGCGCACCCACACTTGGAGGTTCACAACGTCATTGCACCCCCTCTGCTTATAAGAGACATAAATCTCTTGGATCGATTGCAGAGACGAGCAACCAAATGGGTGATAGGGTTGAAAAATAAGCCTTACGACGAAAGACACCAGCACTTGGGATTATTTCCACTGAGCTACAAGAGAATCAGAGGTGATCTGATCATGGCGTACAACATATTAAGCACGCCAAACCATCCCAACATGAGCATCTTACCGATGCATCACCACCACTCCCCTCGAGACAATCCTCGAAAGATTGCACATCAAAGAGCAAATACTCATATTCGTGCACACTTTTTCTCATTGCGAGTCGTCGCAACTCGGAATGCTCTCCCAGCCGAGGTAGTTACAGCCCCCTCAGTGGATAGCTTCAACATGAGGCTTGACTATCACCTGCTCACATAAGAATTTTCTTCTTCCATTACGATTAGCTGTGCCTGTTGCAAGTCTCGGAGCTTTCTACATCTTGTCATTGTCGTTTCCTTAGATGAATGACTTTTCCTATCCCGCTTATTTTGTCTGTTTTCTCCTACGTGCTTGCTATTCTTCATTTGTTTAGTTATTTTATCTTAGTTGTTGCTTTTCGCTGCACTTTCGGTGAATTTCTTTTGATATGCTTATGTGGAAACGGTATGATATAGTCAGTAGATTTGTTGGCTTTTTGATCGTCTCCGCTCATTTGTCCCAACTGTATGCATTTGAGTTCACGTCTTGATGTATTTCAAGTAAATAATGGAATAGTAGGAAAATATTTTCCATATATTGTAGTTCTTCTTTTTTTTATTCTTGTTTAATTTCGCGTATTCGAATTTATCTGTTATGATTATTTTTTTTCACCGGATTGCCCGTTACTCCCTAAGTAACTGTTGGGTACAATGTGCCGTATTCGGAGAACCTTTCAGCGATTAGTAAAATGAAGTTATGTATATGGCAAAGAGATGTTGAAGTCAAATTTCATTGTACCAGCCTATGCTCATAGGCCTGAATATCCTTTATTGTGCTTGGAATAATACCAGCGATTGTAACTGCAGCCGCCAACATATTATTTCCCTGGAAGTTGTAGTTGTGATAAAATTTTACCGGACAAATGCTAGTTAAGTGATATCCTCTCTTCCATTCAACAAAAGAGAAAAACAGTTTCGAGAAAAATGTAGTTTAACTGTTCTGTTTCTACGTGATGTTCCATTGGAATATCTTAATCAACTTGTCCAAACTATTTTTCCTTGTCATCTTCGGCTATAATTACTTTAAGCTGTCATGATGAGTTCAAACATATGTTAGATATCTTCTTATGATGGAATCAATTAAATCTGTTTCGTTTTGTATCACTGTAGATCTTTTAATTTTCTTATATAGTTAGTATTAGATTTTGGTTTGTGGTCTGTCTATGCCACTGAATATTTTTACTTGACTTGGGATTTACCTAAATAAACTAGCCTGTTTATTTAAACACTATTGCCGGGTTTTTTTTTACTGTTAACACTTCAGAAACTACCTTTTATATGATTACTGTAATAACCTAATTTTTCAGCTTTTGAGATATCTGTAATTTCCAAGTTAAATCGAAACAACTATTCTCATTGTATTGAGGTTTGAAGTTATTCAATTCCAACAAGTGTTCCTCACAGTTTTACCAACCTTGTTACGTGACAGTATGTCCACGTCAAATATTCTGCTGGTGACAGGGAGGCCAGGTACGTCTTTCTATAAAAGATGTTTATTTAATTAATATAAAAGCATGTAATCAAACGCCGGTATTTATCTCAACATTTGGAAGTTTGCTTTTTTCGTTCTAGAAGCCTATGAATCAGGAATGCAGTTTATTTTAAATACGCAGCTGTTAAATACAGGTCCATCTACTAAATTGTCACCATTTTCCTTCTGTACTGGTTAGTAGTACTCAGTTTTCTAGCCTGAAATAGAGCTATTAATGTTCAAATCCATGATTTTGTGGTCGTTAATCGAATACGTTAACCAAGAAGTCATAGTTTCACAGAGCTACTTTAACAAGACTTTGAATATTGAATGATGCCATTGTTATTACCAAATGGATTATACTGAATTAATATATTTTAAATGCGTATGCTATCATAACATTATACTTCGTTGTTTTTCAGTTTCATTCCACGTTAAGACTTGAAATTACTGTTATTGGAAAATGTTTTAATGTACCATGACTAGTGCCTTGATTCATAGGAACGTATGCCCAACCACTGACTGTCCCGATGAGCGATGTTTTGTGATGTATGAGCAGGCTAGAAGAAATCTAGAAGCGGCCAGACAGGAACATGGCACAAATTTTGAAATCTTGATTCGTTGATCTTCTGGTATGTCTCTTCTTTGTTCTCCGTATCGTCTGCTTGACATCTCAATCGCCGTTGTCAATGTTGTTAGGTGTTCATAACACTTTTAGACCTGGGATTCTCAGTAAACATTTTTTCCACATAAACTTCATGTCATCTGTTACTGCTGATAATTGTAAAAAGCTCCTATGTATAACTGTTGGTAATCGTAATTTATTTCTGGTTTTATTGTTTTTGATTCGATATCAAATACTATCAAATGTTGTAAAGCCTTTTTATTCATATCTTAACGCGTTACTTTCATTAAGCATTATGCGAATATTTATTTTCCTTCTCTGTTCATGTGTATATTTCAGTAGAAATAAATTTGTATCTTTCTACAGGTATCGGTAAAACCACTCTAGTTTCTCGTGTCTTTGAAGAGCTTTTCAAAAATGGGATACATACAGTTGGCTTTAAAACAGAAGAAGTTCGACAGTTGTATTCAGGAAAGTCTTCTCGTTTAGGATTTGATATAGTTCTATTCGATTCATCTCGAACATATCCTAGAGCTTCATTAGCTCGTATATCTAGCCAGTCAGGTCAACAAGTACAACGTCAACCCCGTGTTGGTCAATACCTTGTAGATATACCATCATTTGAGAGTTTGGCTATTCCTTGTCTACAGGTCAGCTAATTTCATTAAGGTTAATTCATGCTAATCACTAAAATAAACTGATTTTGTATTATGTGTGTAATGGTTACGAATAGACAATTATTATTTTGTCTAGTGAAATAGACTTAAATTTTCTTTTCTTTTGATTTAATTTTTTCTTTTGTCAAAATTCATATCATCAATAGTCGATTCTAAATAATTTGGAAAATGTTTCTTCCAATTCAAATTCAACAAAAAAAAATAATCTCATAGTTTGTATCATTGATGAAATTGGTAAAATGGAGTTATGCTCAACAAAGTTCACTTGTTGCATTGAAAAGCTAATTTCATCAATTGTAAATTTGTCTACAAATAATCAACGTAACGTCGTAAAACGTCCTACAATTGTTCTTTTGGCTACTGTACCATCATCGAAAAGACAAGATGGTACACGTGGAATTCCACTTGTCGATCGTATCTGTTCAATGAAAGAAGCTTTGATAACTGAGGTAATGTAGCAATACTGTTTGAAACATATATATATTTGATTTGAATATACTTGCCTTTGAACTTTTATTGTGTGGTTGTGAAGTAAAGGTAAACTTTTGATAATCATGATTAAAGTTCATAATAGTTTGCTATGATGATTAGAATATATGTATGGATTTTAACCGGTAGTGGAATTCAAAAGCCATGTTTAAAACCACTTAATAATCATCAGCTGAATTAATCCCCGTCTTAATGTCGTTAATCACACTGAAACTGAAATCCGGTACCTATCACTTCAAACTCTGTAGCTTTATTCATTAAACTAATAATGTGGTGCGCGCTACTTATAAGTAGTATATGACGCTAGTAAAAACGTAATGTCTGGCAGCAGGAGATGGGGGAAGATGAAGAAAGAAAGAGTGGAAACATAATGGAATTTGTATGAAACGCATGAACAGTGAATTGTCAGACAATGGATTTGTTGTTTTGCAAATTAACGGTTTACGATATGATTTTCCTATTTTACTGAGTAACTGTAATTTTCGTTAAATACAATTCGGTTGCCCTAACCTGTGTTCTCCTTCACTACAATAATTTCAAATAACCACTGACAAGTTTGCTGTATCCGGAGAAAGATTAGGGAAATGGTAACTCTTGCGACTAACTGATAGATTATTGTTACAACTATTCTCATTATATGATTATTAAATAACTAGATTATAACATAATTATACTCGTTTTGTCATAAGCTCTTGATTAAACCATCAACTAATTTTGTATGATTTACTATTCCTAATCTCTTGCCAGTTTGTCATTCACAAACTCCCCTATTCATAGCCACTTTCGGCTGTCTCATCTTCTTTAAATGTATTTTCTTATTCTATGATATGATGTGGTTTGGTATGTTTTGTATATAAACTCTATCTGCTTGAAATTTAACGAATTTTTCGTAGACTGGCTATGGACTTCTGAACTAAGAGTCAGGGTAGAAGGAAATCAGCCATCCAGTCCTGGACAGATATATATCTAGTGTTAACTCATGGTTTATAATGCTAAGGTGGTTCTGAGTGTTGTTTTGTATGTATCACGTGATATCGGTAAATGGTTAAGGATACAACATTATTACACTGAAATTCTTCGCCTTTGTGGTGCATCCGATTAGTTTTAAGAAAGAATCAGTTTTGATTAGATTTTCTTTTTGCTCCATACGCCCAAGTGATAATGGGAATTATATTCATATTATTGACACAAATTTGCCAACGATGTTTTATAATTTGAAATCTTTTAACCATAGGTTTATTCATCAAAAAATCGTCATGAATCGAGTTTAACCATAAAAAATTGTACTACTAGCTACCAGTTGCATATACTTTCGATTTAATAATTAGCTTGTTAGTTGTGTTTCACTTTGTCGGAAAAGAAACATAAAAAAACGTAATAATGTCGAGTATTTGTGTACATACATAGTTATTTAGGCTGGGAACAGTCGAGGTTTATGTAATGCAACACAAGTTTCATGTAACAATTTGTTACATTAAATAGTTTTGTAGTTCGAATAAGTGATCAATAGGATTACCCACCAATTAATAATGTTTAATAATATAATCTGACTAGTTAGCAAGTGATCATGTGCGATCGATTGATCTGTTGATGTAAAAATCTCAATAAGTGGGTTATTGCAAAAGTGGAAAAATTGAACCAATAGATAATATTTTTCTTCCAATTAAACGACATGATTAGATGTTATCAAATAAATAAGTCATTAGATGTTACTGGTCTTTAATTTGCCAGGTCTAGGCCAAATGGTGGATATAGAAAATGATATATCTACAGGCACACACTATTGAGAAAAAACTTCGTTCAACATTTTTAAGTAAGCAGATGTACACACACTATTGGCTAAAATTGTGACTTAATTTTCTAAGAGAGATAGGTATATATATTTACGAATGAGTTGTGTGTATATATAATTTCTGTCCAATTAACCATTAAAAGCTTCCTACTCACTCAAGTAACTGGTTCAGTCAGTCAGTCAGTTGCAACGTAGAACTTCGTACGTGTGTACATAAGTTCATGTTGCCATACCACATTAACACAGAAACGCAAATGTCGAATCAAATCCCATAGTGATAAAAGGAGTAGAGGTATTAATCGTAATGAAGAAGACTAGGGTTTGAAGATATAGTTCAAGAAGTATGATTCATTGAGATAAGGTTAGAAAGACAAAGGTAGAGGTGCTGACGAATGCAGAAGATTAGGATTTGAGAGAGCACAACGAATGGATGCACTTGCGCGATTGCAAACGATTTTGACCCATGTCAATCAAGGTCTCTAACCATTGGTGACTTTCGTCTCGCGGACCCCAACCAGGTAGTCTACATCTACCAACATGACTCAGTCCACTTGTCAGTGATTTCATGCATCTCTGCCATGTTTTTTTCTGGCCGCCCCTAGCTTTCTTCAAACCTACTCCTACACCACAAAACATAGCTCGTCGAGGCAGTCGGTGGTTAGGCATACGTAACACATGTCCCAACCACCTCAACTGATGAAGTTTCACCACTTCATCTATTGATCTGCCGTCCCTACCTAGTATTCGTTTCCTAACGACAGCATTGCTTACTCGGTTGTCCCACGTTATACGAGCAATGCTTCTAAGACATCTATGATCGAATGGTAGTAACCTAGGAACATCTACTCTTAACGGTCATATTTCACAGCCATACAGGAGAACAGAGCGAACTGCTGCGCCGTACACTCGTCCTTTCATTAGCAAATGGATATCTCGCCTACGCCATAAGTGACGCAAGTTGGCAAATAGCAATCGAGCTTTCTGTAGCCGAGCTGAGATTTCGTCAGTCACCAGGCCATCAGCCCTGATGAGACTCCCCAGATAAGTGAAGTGATCGACAAGCTCGACTACTTCACTCCCTATCACCAGTTCAGGTGCCGATGCAACCCAATCTTGAAGTAACATTTTGCATTTCGAGGGAGAAAACCGCATCCCGAACATGCTCGCATTGTTGCTTATGGTAGTCAGAAGACTGCATTTTGTCAGCGTCTTCACCGAATAGAACCATGTCATCGGCATATTCTAAGAGATTTTCCTGGTAGAAGGTCGACCCCTTAAAAATCTGACGAGCTTAATGTTAACTCTAAGAGGTTAGGCTTTTATATATCGGTATCAGACTCAGACCATCGAAGAATGTGATAATCTCGTGTGTCAATTATGTATATCTTATAAATGTATTACTTGTATTTGTGCATACGATGCCATTAAATTTCTGTTTCTTAAACTTCTTATTACTCATTTTGAATTAATAAGACATATTTCTACAAACGAAAAAAAAAACTTTTTCCTTACTTCCAGATTGATATATCGAATCGTGATGCGACTGTCCAAGAAATCACCAAGAGAATATTGAATTGTGGATCTTTGTAGATTACTACTTTATATTTTATTATTGGTTCACATGGGGGTCCTTACACACAATACACTCATTTAAAAAAAAAGCTATATTTTTTTCAACTGCAATTAATAAACGTATTTCGGGTGTGTTTTCTTATTACTTGAGTTCGTGTGTTACTCTACATCTACTACTCTAGGATTTGCGCTAATAATTTCATCTAGTCATGCTAATGGGATATGGTCACGTGAACAATTGTACACATGTGCCAGATCCGTCGCATCGCGCTTAATTAATTGAATCAAAAGATGCTTCATTTCTAAATCAACCAACGATTTATAAGCACTATGATGACGATTAAAGTTCTCAATTGGAATCCAAGTCAAATGTATATATATATGTATTAAAAAATAATAGTGAATCACTTGATATTGTTGCTTACAAATCTAACTGGGTTGTTCAATAGAGTTATCATTTAAATAATCATAATTTTGCATTTCATGTATAAATAATTCCTAATAATCATTGATTAATAAACGTCATAACATTGTGCTTCAAGGATCAACTTTTCTTTACTGTTGATAATTGTTGGTATTTGCCATTATTTCTTGTTGAATTGATTAAGTTTCCTTGAGAATATTGAAAAAAGGTAGGTTGATTTATTGAATATTCTTAGATGGTTGTTCAAAGTTATCAATCAATTGAAAAATATTTGCTTTATCATCATCATATAACATTGTAGAAGAAAAAAAAACAACTTATTCACTGAATAATAATAACCAAACCCTGAATGACATGGCTCGAAACCGTTTGCAAATGACGCAGGTGCAAGTTTGTGCTGATGATGTTGTTCAGAAGAACAATGAAAGCTCCACAACCAAAACAACCAGCTCAGAGAACGAAACACCACCACAATCATCCACCTGAGCTACAAGTTTTCTCCACCATCTGAAAACCATCAGTTTCAATCACAAAATATGGATTTGATTTTCATAATACATAAATCGCATAACGGGGTTGTGAAGATTGTTTAGTTACACATTTGAAACCGTCAATCGATCAGTGTTAAACCACCATCAAGAGCTCAGAAGAACTGGACGGCCGTTTCGTCCTGGTATGAGACTCATCAGCAGTGCGCGCCCACCACTCCTGCACCCCGCAGGATTCGAACCCAGGACCTTCGGTCTTACACACGAACGCCTAGCCTCTGGACCACTGAGGCAGTATGTAACGGTGTCAATGTCTAACTTGATCAATTCACGGAGTTGCGCAACCTCATACACTGTCTTCGGCAGTTACTTTCTACACCCTACCAGGTTGAACTTCACTGGTCACGACTTCCCACTAGAACTCGGAGAGGATTCCTCACGGAGCTAGTCACTAGTAAGCATTGCTGATGAGTTCCATACCAGGACGAAACGGCCGTCTAGCGATTCCAGGTTTCTAATGGTGGTCTAACATTAGTCGATTCATGGTTTCAAATGTGTAAACATAAATTGTATTATTAGAGATTCTCATTGTGAATAATTAGGACAACACAGATTATAAGTGAACAATATTGTTGTTTTCAATTAGATCGTCATTAGGCTTTTACTCTAATATACATGAATATTGATATGAAAATGTTAAACCAGTCAAGGCAATTTATTATGAGTCAATAATCACAATAAAACTTGAGATTACGTAACTACACTTAATAGGTGAAAGTACAAGTTGATAGTATTGGAAGACAAGTGTACCGATAGTAGTAAAAAAAGTAATTAAATAAATAAATTAAATAACAAAATATAATAATTACGTAATGAGTAGCTAGTAAAGAACATAAACGGAAAATTGCAAATAAATACCGGGTGTGAAGATGATGCTAACGACAAAAATAAAATACCTAAAATCGTTTATTAAGTTTCATCCGGCTATCAGTCATGTATGTCAAGATGGAGCTGCTTATTGTTTTTATCTGGCCCTTTCTAGACCATGCTGGGAGATGTCCACTTGTTCGTTGGTTAAGTTGACTGGTAGTACGCCACATATAGCTATCTCTACGGGAGCAGCTGGGTTTGAAAATGCACGTTGAGGAGGTCGATTCAGGTAACCTCCTTCTTTTCAGTAGACATCACGGGTCGATTCGAGAAAGTCAACTTAAGATTGACTGCGTAGACTATCCTACTAATTGCTTTCGCTAATCTGTCATCTCTAGTCACCGTGTTGAACTGTATTTTAATAGATTTGTTTTGAACAGTCCAAGTCTTTTTATATATCATACATGTACTTCTTTAAGAACGCTCTGATGTAGTCAATCCTGAAGTAACATTTTACATTTCAAAGGGAAGAAACGCATCGCGAATAGGCTTACATTGTTGCTTAGGGTAGTCAGAAGACTGCATTATGTCAGCTTCTTCACCAAATAGAACAATGTCATTGGCATATTCTAATCCAGCAAGTGATTCTCCTTGTAGAAGGTCCACTCCTGAAAATTCATACGAGGATAAGGTTAGCTCTAAAAGCATGTCTATGACGAAGAATGGGGAATATGGATAATCCTGACGGACACCACTTAAAGTAATCGGTTCCGATGACAGATCGCCATAAGCTCACACTCGACCAGTTGTGTTTGAGTAGAGAGCTTGTATGAGGTTTATGTACTCCTTTGGTGCACCTTTTAATGAAAGATTCTGCCAGAGAACTTCACGAGCGGCGCAATCAAATGCCGCCTCAGGATCGGGGAAGACAACTATTGTCGGACGCCTAAATGTGCGTCTGTGTCCTAGGACCTGTCATAGTGTGAATATGTGGTCTATACATCTATTTCCAGGTCTGAAACCAGCCTGATTTTCTCTAGTCTGCTCCTCATGAGCTCTAGTTAGGCGTTGGAGTATTATTGAAGCTAATATTTTAGACACTATATTAGTTAGGCTGATTTCTCTGAGATTGTCACAGGAGGACTTTTATCCTTTTCTAAAGACTGGGACAATCAGTGATTGAGGCCAGTCAGATGGAATTACGTCCATATTCTTTTCAAGATCTGTCAATCTGACTGCTAGAACTGCATCACCATCCTTAAGAATCTCGAGTTAATCTATCAGGACCAGCTACTCTCCCTTGCCTAGAACCTTTTCAAGCTCATCAACAGTCAGAGGGCTTACATCAATTCGCCATTCAGGTTGACTGGAGATCATGGGTAACCGAAATGTGGCTGAAGGCCAGTTGAACTGATCCCTAAAGTGTTCTGCCCATTGATCCAATCTCCTGGGTTGAGAATGAATCAAAAGCCCGTCCTTTTCTGATATAGTTTCGCTAACAGATGGATTCCTAGTACCTGTTTCCTTGATAAGGCGGAATAATTGTCTAGTGTTACCTATCATTGCTGTCTTTTCCTTTACTCGTGCTTTGACTACTCACCACTGTTCGCGATCGTTGCGTAAGATGAGGTGTGACATTTTTAGGGTTGACAGTTTCTAACCCTTCCTTCCTTGTGAGAAGGCAGCATCTCTGTAGATGTTGGTTGTCCGAGGGAAACACCTTATGCTGTCACACCTCTCTACAGCCAGGAACACGACTTCGCCCTCAGACATTGAATTGCTGCTTTTAGCCTTATCGTTCTCCAATCGACTTGTCTGGCACGATAGGACCTAAATAAGCATATTATCCAGCCAATATGGCTCAGTTGGGCCACCACGATAGGCAACTCCAACCGCCATGTCAAGGTAGCAGCTACAGTCGAGAACAGGCTTACGTAAGGTAGTAATGTTTACTATAATAATATAAATTCTAAAAGTTAGTTGTACAGCTATTTATTGCGTAATTGATGTACGTGTTTGTCATGAGATAGAACAGGTCAAATATTTTGCTTAAATTCATTTCATTTACAACTCCTTTTCCTTACTGAATAAATGTATGAAGTTCAAAAATTGATCACTTCGTGTTTTTATTTACGTGGTTCATACTTCATCATAAAGTGATGTTTTTTAGTCAAAGTTATCTCTATACTACTAATTTAATTGTGTGGTATTTTGATATAACGCAATGATGTATTCAGTTCATGAACAAAAGTGATTAGAACAATTATATATTACAGAATGATTCTAGGAAGATAGTAAAACTCTTGAATTTCACTCTTCGTACGAGATATTCACTGAGTTATCTGACTAGATTTTAAGAATTTCCATCCGAAGTTAGAACTTCGGACGATATTAACAAAACAAAGTCCCCTGTACAGATTCTTATTCAACACTGTCTAATAATCATATCTTTTTCCTGTTAAGTGAAGGTATATTTATTCCGAAATTTACATCATTTCTTCATTCGTTGAAGGGGGGAAATTCCTACTGATAGACAAGGGAGTAAGTGAACAAAGTTTATCATACATAGCCACACTTATAAAGCATTCATAGACAGAACTGTCAACTTAAAATGAATGTATGAAAAGAACATCTAAAAGATATCATATAAGCTATATCCAGTATCAAGTAGCCGTAGAAAGACATATATTTATTATACAGAACCTACAAGTGGTTAGTAATTAGTTGTAGTTTGTAGATCTACATACTAAATAACCTTGAGTAACTATTGTATGAAATTCGTAAACATCGATGACTTGTCAGTATACAGTTGAGGATATCGTTTAGCTTCATTAAAATTATGAATCAATCAATTTTAGGTCACTACTAGAAACTTGGAAGTACTGGAGGTCTGTTTCGTCCTAGTATGAGATTTTTCGGAAGTGCGCATTTACACCTCTGCAAGCGGAAACGTACGAACACAGAACCTTTAATCTCATACATGAACACCTAAACTCTGGATTACTGAAGGAGTTAAGTACTAATTGGTTGGTTATACAGAAGAACTGCCGTTTAAAGTATTATAAATTGTTTTAATTACGAATGTATAAGTATTATAGAAAAAGTTATCATGAATTATGAATTAGTAATATTAATATCTTAAGGATGTTTCCTTTTAACAGTTGCATTTGCTGAAGGAGAGTGTTTTGGTTGTATTTTTCGTTCAACTATTTCTTTCATAAGATGTATGAGCGTTTGAAAATATCTGAAAGAAAAATACAATCAGATATTACTTTAGATAATTGATAATCAAAACAGTGAAAATGTAATTGTCAACAAATGATTACCGCATGATATTGTACTACAAACGTTCAATATCTGAAGAAGTAAATAACTATCTCATAGTCAACATGATCGAATTGAACCAGTCATGGCTTATCATTGGAATTAAATCTTGAAGTTAGCCGCTAGGGAAGAGTACATGTTTACTAAATTGTAAGTAGGAGCTTTGTGGAGATTGCTGAATTTTTATAATTCAAATAATTGACTAGTTTTATTTTTAGAACTAACAAAAATCAGATCATATATTGAGTCGAAGTTGTATACTTATGAAGAGAACGATACTGAAAAGTAAAAGCTGTTCAGTCTACCTTCATTTTCATTAGTTGTTGAAATAAGATTAGCGCATAATATCTACGATAAGAATTTGAAAATTTTCACAAATCCTCTATACTGAAATTAATCATTTGTTGAGGGGGTTTTCTAAAGATTAGGTTTCTTTTTAGGTGATATACGCCATGGACTAACTTCATTTGTACATATTACTTTTGTCAACTAGCAATCATATTTATGCTAATAACATATTACATACTATTCCCATTTTTATTTCGTTTTTTCTTAATTACAGTTTCCCACTCCTTTTTACGCTTCACATTCGTGTAGCAAATTGAGCGACTGTTTGAGATGTGTCTGTGTGTGTGTGTGTCTGTATCTGAAGTTCATCACCATGGAACATACCACTGATCTAATATAAACAACATTTCTTGACTTATTCTTCCATTTTTAACTGCTGATAAAATAGAACTGTGACAATTATATATTTTGTGTAAGATGTAAAAATTACTTACTCCTTTTCTGCTAATTCAGCTTTTCTAGATTTAATACAATAAAATGAACAGCACTTCATTATTAGTCTACTTAATAACACGAACATCATTTGTTTTATTTAATATCATAAATGTTTTTATTTGAAATCATGCAGCGATCTATGTTAGATGACCAATGGAAATCTAGGAGCACCAGAATGCCTTTTTGTCCTATTTTGTTGCTCCTTACAAGTGTCCGTATCTGAAGTTACCAACGCGAATTCATGCACTAGAGCTCAGATTTCATGTTTACAATATTTTGTAACGTTTAACTTTGAAAAAAAGCCATCAAGTTAAGTATTTTAATGTAATTTAATTCACAAGAGTTTAATACAGCCTTTCTTGGGGATACCGTAAAATCCAACGAATTCATGATAAACCTCACCAAAAGGTTCCAGGCCTTGCACGATATATTCAATTGAGAGGAAGCGACGTTGGAGAATAAATAGAAAAGGATCAAGGAGGCAATCACTTCAACATGTCACGAAGTTCTGGGTCACAAGAAGTACCATCACAAGGATTGGATGTCTGTTGGTACTCTTGCAAAAATTGAAGAAAGGAGGAAAAGAAAGGCAGTATTCAACGTCAGCCGAAAAAGAGCAGAGAAAGTTACCGCACAAGCTGCATACACAGAAGTAAACAGGGAAGTGAAGAAGAGCATCAGAGCTGACAAACGAAAATATGTGGAAGGTCTAACAAAAGGCTGCAAGAGAAGGAAACATGAGACAATTGTGCGAAACAATAAAGAAGCTCGCCGGAAACTATCGTAAACCAGAGCGACCAGTGAAAAGCGAGGAAGGAAAAGTAATCAGCAACACTGAACAACAGCGAAATAGGTGGGTAGAGCACTTTAAGGAACTCTTGAATCGACCAGCTCCACTGAACACACTCAACATCGAAGCAGCATCCACGAACCTCCCAATTAATATTGGCGCACCTACAATTGAGGAGATCAGTATGGCCACCAGACAAATCAAGTGTGACAAGTCAGCAGGACCAGACAACATTCCAGCAGAGGCAATGAAAGCAGATGTGGAAGCAACTGCGAAAATATTTTACATCCTCTTCAAGAAGACTTGTGATGAGGATCAAGTACCATCGGATTGGAAAGAAGGATACCTGATCAAAATACCAAAGAAAGGCGATCTGAGCAAGTGTGAGAACCACAAAGGCATCACTCTTCTCTCAATACCAAGCAAAGTCTTCAACAGGGTATTGTTAAACAGAATGGAGGATTTCGTAGACGCCCAACTTCGAGATCAACAGGCTGGATTTCGTAAGTATCGATCGTGTACTGACCAAGTTGCCACATTACGGATCATTGTGAAGCAATCAATAGAACGGAACTCACCACTCTACATCAACCTCATTGACTACGAGAAAGCATTCGATAGCGTGGATAGGAAAACACTGTGGAGGCTTCTTCGACACTACGGTGTGCCTGAGAAGATAGTTAACATCATACGGAATTCTTATGATGGATTCAACTGCAAAATCGTACACGAAGGACAGCTAACAGACTCTTTCGAGGTGAAGACCGGTGTGAGGCAAGGTTGCTTACTCTCACCCTTTCTCTTTCTCCTGGTGATCGACTGGATTATGAAGACGTCGACGTCTGGAGGGAAGCACGGTATCAACTGGGAACTTAGGACGCAGCTGGACGATCTGGACTTCGCAGATGATCAGGCTCTTCTATCACACACGCAACTAAGGATGCAATAGAAGACGACCAGTGTAGCAGCTGAATCTGAATCAGCAGGTCTCAACATACATTAAGGAGAAAGCAAAATTCTCAGATGCAACACAAAATACACCAATCAAATCACTCTTGATGGAGATGCCTTGGAGGACGTTAACACCTCTACATATCTGGACAGCATCATCGACAGCCAAGGTGGGTCTGATGCAGATGTGAGGGCATGGATCGGCAAAGCAAGGGCTGCATTTCAACAGTTGAAAAATATCTGGAACTCCAAACAACTTTCAACCAAAACCAAAATCAGGATTTTCAATACAAATGTCAAGACAGTTCTACTGTATGGAGCGGAAACTTGGGGAACTACCAAAGCCATCATCCAGAAGATACAAGTGTTTATTAACAGTTGTCTACGCAAAATACTTCTCATGCGTTGGTCAGACACCAACAATCTACTGTGGGAGAGAGCAAACCAGATTCCAGTGGAGGAGGAAATCAAGAAGAAGTGGTGGAAGTGGATAGGATACACACTACAAAAGCATCTAACTGCGTCACACGACAAGCCCTCACATGGAACCCACAAAAGAGGAAGTCCAAGGAACATAATACGCCAAGAAATAGAGAAAGATATGAGAGGAATGAACAAACATTGGACAGAAGTGGAAAGGGAAGCCCAGGACAAAGTTGGTTGGAGAAAACTGGTGGGCGGCCTATGTTCCATTGGGGGTAACAGGCGTAAGTAAGTAAATAAAAATCAATCATTAATTTTATGAACATCATACTCAAAAGGAATCAGTAATCAAGGTATTAAAATCAAACTTTTAATATATCTTCACATAAAAGAAATTATATCACTTACATACGAGGAATCCAGTCAAATACTAAGCTGACCAAACTAAGATTTAATTGATATTTGAATATTTTACTAAAACTGGTTTTCATACAATAATAATTTAAAATTATTATTACACTGTTGCGAGCGTTAGATCACCAGAACTCACTTAATGAAGATGTTAAATTTTGATTTCGTGTTTTCGCACATGGCCTGATGAGTTGACTTTAGGATTACATTTCCCACCAGGAAGATGTTTGAATTTTATAGGTTGATGTATTATTTTAGTAAGCTATTTTTGTGGCTCTCTCGTGGACATTTCTATGGTGTATAAATAAACTCGATTTGTGTGCTTGTAAATCTCACATTTTCTGTGGGCTTGCAGAACACACTTTCTACGTCTCGTAAAGACTTCTTTTTTTTACCTAGTAGGGCATTGGTACGCTCGGATTAGAGTAGTCTACCATGTCACAAAGACATAGACAAAGAACACTAGAGAATTTTAGAAGCTTGACACCAATCAACAAACATCCAGCTCAGAGAACGAAACAACACCACAATCAACTATAACTTTTCAGTTTAAAATTTATTCTAAAAACTCAAAAGGAGATAAAATAGGTTTAAAAACATGTTCTAACGTAGTTGCTCATGAATCATTTCAATTAGTGTATTTCCAGTAATTATGAACATTTGATCAAATTTCTCCAGCAACTCTGTGCAGTACAAGTTAGAAACACTGACGACCATTTATTAACACTCCACCTGTAGGCCTTTAGGGGTTACTGTCAGTCCCAAGCCAGGATAAAGAAGGTAGGTTAGTCCATAGGGTCAACTAATCCATCCCGTAGGACTCTAACCCGAAAAAAATAATTCGTTGGTCGGCGGCCTATGCTCCATTAGGGAAAACAGGCGTAAGTAAGTAAGTAAGCCGTTGTATACTCAGTAACCAGCGGAACTTTAGTGGATAAACTATTTTGTGTAACTTTTGTCGGAAGTATATGATGTCCATCACTTCAAATCGTTCGTAATATCATCATTAGGCAATCTTATTTATATTACGGGGTTGTGAAGATTGTTAAGTTACACATTTTCGAAACCATGAATCGATCAATGTTAGACCACCATTAAACATTAACACCGTTAGATAGCGGCTCAGTGGTCCGATGGTTAGGCGTTCGCCTACAATACCGAAGGTCCTGATTTCGAATCCTGCGGGGTGCAGGAGTCGTGGATGCGCACTGCTGAGGAGTCCCATTCCAGGACGAAACGGCCGTCCAGTGCTTCTAGGTTTCTAATGGTGATCTAACATTGGTCGATTCATGGTTTCAAAAATGTGTAATCTTATTTATGCTGATAACATATTACATACTACTCCCATTTTTATTTCGTTTTTGTTAATTATAGCTTTCTACTCCTTCTTACGCTTCACATTCGTGTAGCAGATTGAGCGACTGTTTGAGATGTGTCTGTGTGTGTGTGTGTGTCTGTATCTGAAGTTCATCACCATGAGACATACCACTGATCTAATATAAACAGCATTTCTTGACTTATTCTTCCATTTTTAACTGCTGATAAAATAGAATGATGACAATTATATATTTTGCATAAGATGTAAAAATTACTTACTCCTTTTCTGCTAATTCAGCTTTTCTAAAGTTAATGCAAAAAAATGAACAGCACTTCATGATTAGTCTACTTAATAACACGAACATCATTTGCTTTATTTAATATCATAAATGTTTTTATTGAAATCATGCAGCGATCTATGTTAGACGACCAATGAAAATCTAGGAGCAACGGAAGGCTTTTTTATTCTGCTTTGGGCTCCTTACAAGTGTCCATCCATGACCTTACCAGCGGGAATCATGCACTAGAGCTTTGGCGTCGCGCACGAACACCTAACTTGATGACTGCAGAGCAATATATCGAGTATTGATTGAATCTAAACATTAACATCTCTGGATGCTTGCTTGGTGGTTAAGAGTTAAGGCATCTTGTGGACTCGTATAATACTCACTGCTAAAGAGTCCGATAATAGGATGAAATGATGTTCTTGTACTTCCGGGTTTCCTGCATAGGCGGCCTAACTTTGGTTGGTTCATGATTTAAATGAAACTCAACAATCTACATAAGCTTCATACAGTCTATAAATTCTAATCAAAAATTATCAATATCAGTTTTACAATGATGCAATCACTACAGATTTTTATCAATTTAACTTTTACAATTACAATAATTATATACGATCATAAAAAATCTACTAGTCTCTAGCTTTTTAGTGGGCGCCATAATTTGTAAGCAATTCATCAATCCATGTGAATATATCTGGCTACTCTTTACGATTATTTGGTTAAATTTTCAGATAAAACGAATTTATTAGTATAAGGAATTTACAGAGTTTATAGACTTTCAACAGTGTAAATCAAAAAACAATCGAAGTCGGACAATCTGGCAACGTTGTGGATCCGTTTCATAGTTGCGCTAAAATAGTTGAGCTAAAATTTAAGTATATACTCAAAACTTGTAGGCAAATGAAACATTCAGGCAGTTCACTTGAACTATATACATATATATATATATATTTTTTTCAATTAGAGTTATGGAGATTAGTGTGTTTTTTACACATTTGAAATCACCAACCAATCATTATTAGACCACCATTATGAACCTGGAAGTACTGGACGGACGTTTCGTCCTGGTGTGAGGCTCATTAGTGATACTGCGCATCCACGACTCCTACACCTCGAGGGATTTGAACCCGAGACCTTCGATATTGTGCGCGAACGCCTAACCATTGAACCACTGTGCCGGCATCCAATACCAGGGCGAAACGGCCGTCCAGTGCTTCCAGGTTTCTAATGGTGGTCTAACCTATGATTGATTGATGATTTCAAATATACATATATATCAGTTGAGAAATTTAAATTCTAACACTCAAAAAAAACTAACATCCATATAGAAATAGGTTATAGATTTCATCTTTACAATATTTTGTAACGTTTAACTTTGAAAATTGCAGCTATCAAGTTAAGTATTTTAATGTAATGTAATTAAAAATCAATGATTAATTTTATGAACATCATACTCAAAATGAATCAGTAATCAAGGTATTAAAATCAAACTTTTAATATATTTTCACATAAAAGAAATTATATCACTTACAATTGAGGAATCAATTGTGATACTAAGCCTTTCCAACTAAAATATAATGGATATTTGAATTGTTTTACTAAAACTGGTTTTCATACAATAATAATTTAAAATTATTATTACACTGTTGCGAGCCTTATTTCACCAGAACTCACCTAGTAAAGGTGTTGAATTTGGATTTCGTGGTTATTAAAGCTGATAACATATTACATACTACTCCCATTTTTATTTCGTTTTTTCTTAATTACAGTTTCCCACTCCTTCTTACGCTTCACATTCGTGTAGCAGATTGAGCGACTGTTTGAGATGTGTCTGTGTGTGTGTGTGTGTGTGTCTGTATCTGAAGTTCATCACCATGAGACATACCACTGATCTAATATAAACAGCATTTCTTGACTTATTCTTCCATTTTTAAATGCTCACAAAATAGAATGATGACAATTATATATTTTGCATAAGATGTAAAAATTACTTACTCCTTTTCTGTAAATTCAGTTTTTCTAAAGTAAATGAGAAAAAAATGAACAGCACTTCATTATTAGTCTACCGAATAACACGAACATCATTTGCTTTATTTAATATCATAAATGTTTTTATTTGAAATCATGCAGCGATCTATGTTAGATGACCAATGAAAATCTAGGAGCAACGGAAGGCTTTTTTATCCTATTTTGTAGCACCTTCTAAGTGTCGGTACATGACCTCACAAGTTTTTGTTCAGAAAAACAATGAAATCTTTACAACCAAAACATCCAGCTCAGATAACGAAACACCACAACAACGTTACAAGTGGAAATCATGCACTGGAGCTTTGGCGTCGCGCGCGAACACCTAACCCTACGACTGCAGAGCAGTATATCGAGGATTGATTGAAGCTAGACATTAACACCGCTTGATGCTTGCTTGGTGGTCAAGAGTCAAAGCATCTGCACCCAAGGCCGAAGTTCTTGTGGACTCGTATTAACTCACTACTGAAGAGTCTCATAGTAGGATGAAATGGCGTTATAATTGTGAACCAGTTGATCATCACCCTAGTTATCTAGAGGTTAAATATTCACTTGTGAAGTTCCTAAGTTCTTAGTCGTCCTAATCTGTGAGAGAAATAAGTCATTCATTGCTTGCAGGTTTTCGGTTGCGGTCTGGTTAATTCAATTCCTAATATGTAAATTTAATATTTTCCCTTTTGCTATGAAGGATAGTTCAACATATGAGGGCTAATTAATTATCTCGAAACTATTATTTTACAGCTTTTGTTATTATTAATGATTTTAGAACAAAATACTGTTTTCCAATTCGATAACTAGTTGCTCAAGCTTGTTAGTACAACATAATTTTACAAAATTATTTTATTAAAACCAGAGAAATATTGAATAAACAACCTATCCGTCTTGGAATTAATTCAAATACAGAATCAATGAAGAAAATCAAAGAGTATTGCTCTTCAAGAAGATTTATATTAGCTAAAATGTGTGCTTCCATCAACACTCTTCTCTTATTCACAATGTATTGGATATAGGAATAATAATAATAATGTAATTTGGTTTTCATTTCAAAAGTTGAAAATAATGAAAAAACTAAGTAGATAATTCTTGTTTTATTGTTACTATTTCAAACTCTTGATGATCATTAGGCAACGGCTCAGTGGTCTAGAGGTTAGGCGTCCGCGCACAAGACCGAAGGTCCTGGATTTGAGTCCAGCAAGGTGCAGGAGTCGTGGATGTGCACTGCTGATGACTTTTTACCTGTTGAACAATTAAATAGTAATCGCTCATTGGATAAAGATTTAAAGCTTAGAGCAACAGGTATTTTTGTATTTGAATTTTGTTTTTAATATCAACTTTGATACGGAGAGACACAGCAGTTGATCACTTCCAAAACAAAATGAAATATGAATGCTGGATTCCAATCTGAGCTGAAATTTAAGTATATACTCAAAACTTGTAGGCAAATGAAACAATCAGGCAGTTCACTTGACATGTATATAGATATTTTTTACAATTAGAGTTATGGAGATTAGTGTGATTTTTACACATTTGAAATCACCAACCAATCATTATTAGACCACCATTATGAACCTGGAAGTACTGGACGGCCGTTTCGTCCTGGTGTGAGGCTCATTAGTGATACTGCGCATCCACGACTCCTACACCTCGAGGGATTTGAACCCGAAACCTTCGATATTGTGCGCGAACGCCTAACCATTGAACCACTGTGCCGGCATCCAAAACCAGGGCGAAACGGCCCTCTAGTGCTTCCAGGTTTCTAATGGTGTTCTAACCTATGATTGATTGATGATTTCAAATATACATATATATCAGTTGAGAAATTTAAATTCTAACACTCAAAAAATCTAACATCGATATAGAAATTGCTTATAGATTTCATCTTTACAATATTTTGTAACGTTTAACTTTGAAAATTGCAGCTATCAAGTTAAGTATTTTAATGTAATGTAATCAAAAATCAATGATTAATTTTATGAACATCATACTCAAAATAAATCAGTAATCAAGGTAATAAAATCAAACTTTTGATATATTATCACATTATAGCACTTACATATGAGGAATCAAATCCAATATTGAGCTTATCAAACTAAAATTTAATTGATATTTGAATATTTTACTAAAACTGGTTTTCATACAATCATTGAACACACTTTCTTCCCTTACTTAGTAGGGCCTTGGTACGCTCGAGTTAGCGTAGCCTACAATGTCACTGCATCGTTTTTCTTCACTCTTGTAATAGTTTCAAAGCATATCAATTGACGAGTACAACATAGACCATTTTGTCATTAAGAAGTAAACAATATTATGATTTGAATACTAATCGAGTTGCATGAATAAAATTGAAATGATACCATTAAACTTAGGTGAATACATATCCCAATACACTTCAATTAATTATGTAACAGACGGATTACACTGTTGGTCATCAACATTACGGATGTTGATCATATATTCGGTTTATCATTCATCATCTTCAACAATGATTCACTTTTTGTATCATTCAAATAAACCAATCATATAGATAGTAATTCTAATTGAATACACGAAACTCTAGATTTCTCTAATTGAATCAAATAACTACAGTGAAGGTTGTATAGGAAAGCTTTACTGAGATTCATCACAGTACTACAATAAATTCAAAACTATGTGTTTATTTATTATATTTGAGGCTTGAAAATCTAATCTAATTAAAATCAAGTTAATTTTCTTTTTATTTCTATTAAATAAATGATACAAATTTAAACCTAAAGTAATGACCAATTTTTTTCGTAGTTTATTTCAAATTAGGTTTATAGATTAAATTATCTTACTTACTTTTCTGATTTATTTGCGTATGGACATCTGAAAGAATGGAAAATTCAAAAATATCACTGGAATGATTTCAATGTACAATCTACATAATTTTGTCAAAACAAACTATTAGGTGATGATTAAGAAATAACCTCACTATTCATGGATTAAAACAAATAGTCTGTATTGATAAATTTTTTTTGATAGAACAATGAGAAAACATAATTGATCTGAAAAAAATTATCATATTTGTATTTGCGTTAAATACATTTCGAACCATTAGGTTACATGTACATATTATACAGTAGTCAAGATATTTTTATATGAAAATTTAGTAAAGGTCAATTAATTTAATCTTCACAACACCATAATGCAATTATCTGTGCTCACTAGTGACTGACTAGCTGCGAGATGAATCTTCTCCGAGTTCTAGTGAGAAGTCATGATTAGTGAAGTTCAAACGGTTCGAGTGTAGACAGTAACTACCGAAGAGTGTGTATGAGGTTGTGCAAGACCGTGAATTGTTTTCGAAGTTAGACATTAATACTGTTAGATACCGACTCAATAGTCCAGAGATTAGGCGTTTGCGTGCAAGACCGAAGGTCCTGGATTCGAATCCCGCGAGGTGCAGGAGTCGTGGATACGCACTGCCACTGATGAATCCCATATCAGGATGAGACGGCCGTCCAGTGCTTCCAGGCTTTTGATAATGGTCCAACATTAATCGATTTATGATTTTAATTGAGTAAATCAAATAAAAGTTCAAATAAGAATATAAGGTGGAAATTTTTTCAAATTAACTACATCTTCTCATGCTCATGGATTATTTTGAAAAAGCGCCCCATAACTAAGAAGCGTAAAAAAAACATTTCTAAAATGATGAATGATTTGGAATGTGGAAATCAAATAGGAATTATCAGTGAGAAATCTAATAACTATATGTATAAACAGATTATTTCAAGATATTGATGGAATTGAATCAAGTATAATAAGAACAACTGTAATGTTACACAATCAAATCATACTAATCCTAACCATCTGATATACACTTATCAAGTGTATATCAAATGTCATAAAAATCGGAATTTTAATATTTTCAAATCAGAAATAACACTCTTTACACTCAATTATATTTAAATTTACATCACTTACTTATCTTGTCCAGTTTTATTAGTGTGACTAAAATGATCAGGATAATAAAAATAATAATAATAATAATAATAATTATAATCTCTTCCGTGGCCGGATATGACGTAACTAACGATTGACATTATATATATATTTTATTTATTTTAATTTAATTTTATTTATATTTTTATTATTTTTACACATCTGCTTATTCCGTAATGTTTTTGATGATTATTTGAATTCTATTCATCCACCCTTGACCTACTTTAGTTATCATATTTTATAAATTTTCCTACTACTATCTGTTCACCTTGTTTTCCTACTATCCACTTGTACTTTTGTCTTAGTTCATTTCATTGTGATTATCACTCAAATTGCCTTGATTGGTTTAACATTTTCATTTAAATATTCATGTATATTAGAGTAAAGCCTGATGACGATCTAATCGAAAACAATATTGTTCGCTTATATGTGTTGTTCTAAGATGTGATTACTATACACTAGATACTATCGACGTTGTTATAATGTATTAATTTGATGATATGACTTAGAATTCCCTTCTGAAATATAATAAAATGAATAAAAAGATGTAGAAGAGTTGTGTGGATCAAGGTTACATATTGATTTGCCAATCAATCATCTTGTTGAAACGCTCGCTTGAATAATTCCCAGCTAATTCTTATTGCTTAGTATTATTCTCTGATCACAATACACTGGACACGTTCCAAATAGCAAGGTTAAATGGAAATAAGAAGCCGAAGGCGAAGGGCAAAACAGATACAACGTTAGTATTTTTATAGTTTTTTACATGACAAGCTTCTGGATTGTAATTCACGTGATCGACTGGATTAGATTCAACCAATCAGCATGCAGCTAACAACATGAGAGTTTTCTACTCTGTCCTCCAAGAATCGATCGGGCGCTGATTGGATAGGAAATTAGCCAATCAGCGCGCAGCCACGTAGTCATGCTTTAATTCCATCTATGTACCACTAACACATCTGTTAAGGATCAGTGATAAAATAAAATGTTGTCTAGTGTATGTATTTTTATGTCAAGTGCACAGGGCTTGTCTCAGCGTTTGGCCAGTTTAATCGGACCATTCATCTACAGTTAAACACTCGTCTTTCGACCTTGTCAAGCATTTGATAACCTTTTGTCGTTTTTATTCAAGTGTCTGTTCTACTGACTTCGTTTATCATATGTCTAGCTGATTTTAGTTTGATTGTAAATACTTAATCATGCTTCAGAGAATAGAACATCTGGAAGTAAGAACACCTATCAATCAACACCAAAGCCGCAATTTTCCAAACCAAAGTCAATAGAGTCCTATTGTACTAGGCGGAAACCTGGAGAACCACAAAAGGCATCATCATCAGTCTGTAGCGCCTCCACATATATATTCGAGTTCGCTTACATTTAATTTGGTCAAGCCCTTCGATTTATTTATTTAACCAAGCCATTTGTATAACAATGACTTATATGTACAAATTGGTTCTAATAATTGTCTGGTTTGTATGAGCTGGTACAAATGAACATTGCTTACGTCTATGCGCATATTCAAGCCTATCTCGCCTGTTACATGTCTGCCTTACTTTTGTCTGGGAAAGAAAGCACAGGATAGAGTAGGTTGGAGAATGCTGATCGGTAGCTTATGCTGCATTGGGGATAACAGGCGTAACTAAGTAAATCAGTAAGCTTCATTTCATGGCCTTGGCTCACTCGCCTTCTCCATTTCGCTTCAGTTTGATCGTACGCTTTCCATTCTAATGTTTACCTGTATGAAAGATCACCTGAAATAAATCCACCCAACTAAATCTCCTTTGTTCTCTTATTAGCGCCATCGCACAAATGGGGTTCACTTAATCATAATATACAGAAAATGACGGTAAGATTTATTCAACTGCATGTATAAAGGTTCTTACGGGCCACTAAAGTGATGAACCTTACTTCTAATTTAATGTAGCCCACTAAATTTGTTAATGCCAACCCTCAGTCCGTGTCTTCTCGACGAGACATGAGGATTATAATTGCTTATTCAACGTGCATACAATATCAAATCGGCAATTCACAAATCTATTTTTCAATAAATATCTGTCTGAATGTTAGTGAATAAAGAAAAGTGATAGGTAGAGATCCTGTTATCAATCAGAAAGTGAACACTAGTTGTACTTATATACAACTAAACAAATATTATTACTTACGTTTCAGTTGAGGTTGTTGTAAAGTGATGTCTGAAAACGAAATGTATTAGAATTAATGCAAACAAGAATTACAATGTCATTACCCAAATTTCAATATAAAATATTATCAATTATCAAAATGTACTACTACTACTACTACTTCAATGCAACATCATTGAACAAGCTTTGATTGTAAATTAAAAAGTGGACAGGTATCAAAAACTCTTACATATGCAGCATAATTCATTGACAATTTAGTATTGATTGCACAATGTTGACTGATAAAATAGTAAGGTAACCATAGTCTGGACAGATTAGGCATTATTTGGAATCTAAGAGGAAGTTAGATTTATAGTAATGTAACAAACTGTAACTGAACAAGCAGCTCCAGTTCATTCATCGTACGGATTCAATTACAAATAAGTAATGAATGATAATCTAGAAAGAAAATATGTCATCTAAAGATCAACATCACAGTTGCAGACATTAACACAAGGGCAATAAAATAACAAATCAGGCTCTGTCGGTCTCAACCTTCATGAATTCAATGAAAACTACTTTAACGGGGTCAAAATCACCATGTATGATGTTGTTAACCCGTTCAGTTTTCTTTCTATTTCAGGCCGATCAAACATAAACGTTTTGGAAGCTGAAGAACAAGCCCTAAGTGCTCTGAACTTACATGATGACTCATAAGACTTTGGTAAACTAGCCACCCTTTTCTGTACAAACCCCGCGTATTTTAATTTTCAAATAAAAGAGTGCCGTGGCAACCACTTCGTGTTCTCTCTTGGTGTGAGGTGTTAAACCAACCTTATTTGTTGAGATTTTAGATCCTCTCTGCCCTTCAGTGACTACTGGTTACACGTGTTACACTACTAGTGAAAACTGTCGACAATTTCATTTTCAACACTTCAGTACAAATTCTATGAATGGAACATACACAAATTGTTTGATATTACTTACTTGTGTCTCATAGTTGGAGTAGTGTGACTGAAATGAACAAGTAAACAATAAAGATGAAATATTTCATACTATCTATCGATCTATTCATCCATCTATCCATTCATGATTTCTTTACAATAAAATTAAAGTTATCGATTATTGAGGTTGTGATGTAGGTAATTTGAAGAATTGACTTTGAATTCCTTTCAAATTAAGTAACACGACGGTTTGAGGCTGAGTAATTGGAGTGTAAGAATCGAGGTTTTGTAACGATTGATAATGATCTTGTTTTGTGCCATTATGTTAAGACGACATGGCCTATTGTAGCTTTTAAACAACTAATGAATCCGTTCTTCTCAAGTCATTATTGACATATTTTCTTATCTTCATAATGATTTGGTTATTAGTTTTGGTTCTATTTCTTTGAGTAGGTATGTTGTGCATTGTTTACTTCACCTATCACATGTCTAGCTGATATTCGTCTGACTATAAATACTTGCTCATGCCTCACAGAATTGAGTTGGTCCAATTCTTATGTCTGTATGCTTACCGAACGTTTGAAATAAATTCATTCACAATAAATCGTATTGAGCTACACATTACCCCCGTTGCACAAACGGAGTTAACGGAAATGTAATGTATAGAAAATAAAGGGAAGATTTATTTCATAGCATATTCAATTGTTCGTATGAGATAGAGTCAGATCGCAGGTCCACTTCCTACCTATACCTAATGAAACTTGGATCTGTACACTATCACTGAATGCGTTTGTCTTTGTAAATGTAATGTTACATTTTCTGTAATAATATTGTTGTTCACACGCATTGGATTAGGTCGTCATCTAATATGCAGAGTACTAGTGTAAATACTACCAGTTTTCGAAATGTTTACAAACACGTTGCACCTGTGTTTGATCGAGATGGGACAGAGCTCATGTTTATTTAAAACATTTGAAATTTAAGCATTTAAGCTTCAAAATTATGTCTTTCACATTGGTTTAGCATAGTTAAAACAGTGAACAAATATTACTTACACTGAATGTTTGGTCATATATTTATGCCTAAACAAAATGTATTAAAACTCGAGATAATAATATTCTACTACTACCATATGACAGAAATTGAGACAGTGAATAGTCAAATAGTGTTTGATGTGAAGTTAACCATGAGTACTAACCAAATATGGTTGGATTTAGAAAGAACAAGATGAAATGAAATTATTTGTTTGACATTTCAGACAAGTTTTTTTTATGTACAGAGAATGAAATAACCTCTTCACGTGTCGATATCGTGTTATGTATTCACATTGTCAGTATTAATCGAAATATCTCGGTGGATGGATTTGAAATGTAGTTCTTGTTCAATGATAGAAGTGAGTGGATTTAGGCATGACGATGAAATATATTCATCATTAGGACTGCATACAAGCTGAAAGGTTAACTAGATGGAAAGGAATTCTCACTTGCATTACTCAACACAGTACACAATTCTAACCAAAAACATTGGTATGGCAAACTGTAATCATAAATCTAGATGACACGAAAGTCAATCTCAACTTAGTTTGATGATGAAGGATGAATGTTGTGTGATTGCATGATTGTAAACTACACCATCTCTTAGGCTTGAGTTATTCACTCAGGCATAAACATAATCTCTAACCTATGCGAGATTGAGACAGGAACATTCTTGTTGTTTGTTTTTTCAATACTGTTAAAAAATTGAACATTTTCAATTCACGGATATGTTCTTCAAAACAGAGATGTAGCGTAATCACTATTGGTAATGCTCATTTGTATTGATTGCTTGATTACCATTCGAGAACAAATTAAAACAAGACATCAACATCTTAATACTTGGTAGATGATATACGTACCATGCACTTGTGGTTGGATGGTGACGCCTAAACGAACGAAATAAGTTGAAATTCATGAAAATTATAGTCTATCATGTGATAAAAAAATGGATTTTTAATAACAAAAATAAATGTGAATTTGTTACTGTTTAACTATGAATAACTATGCCATGATGCAGAACAAGATGAAACAGAAATATTTGTTTGAATTTTTAAAGGATTAGCTAATGTTTTTTGAATCTATGAATCGATGAATGTTAGACCACCATTAGAAACCTGGAAGCACTGGACGGCCGTTTCGTCCTGGTATGGGACTCCTCAGCAGTGCGCATCCACGACTCCTGCACCTCGCAGGATTCGAACCCAGGACCTTCTGTATTGTGTGCAAACGCCTAACCACTGGACCACTGAGCCGGTATCTAACGGTGTTAATGTCTAACTTGATCAATTCACGGGGTTGCGCAACCTCGTACACAGTCTTCGGTAGTTACTGTCTACAACCGAACACGTTGAACTTCACTGGTCACGTCCCATACCGGCCGTCCAGCGCTTCCAGGTTTCTAAAGGTGGTCTAACATTTATTGATACATGGTCACAAAAATGTGCACCTTAACAATCTTCACAATCCCGTAATGCAGATTAGTTAATGGACAGAAATCAAAATGATTTTGCATCACATTGTAAATTGTTTCAGATTGTATTTTTCCATCGTTCAACATAAAGATCATTGTATTTGTTCATTTGTCAATATTAAATTGAACGTTTCCAGTTGATGAATATCTTCATCGAACATTAAACTACATTGATTGATTGTTTTATTGATGATGTAAACTAAAAGGGAACATTTTACCGATTTTAAATGTACATGAAAGTATATAACTTACTTTTGATTTGTTATTGTTGTTGATGTTTGGTGAAGAAACCTAAACAAATTAGAATAGTTTATGGAATAATCATAAATAATTTTAATCGAATAACTGAATTTTATGTACGTTTTGAGTAATAATGTTATGTGGTGATAGATGTTTGAAAAGAAATGACAAATTGACGAAACAATGTTAAGTAGCATGGAATGTTATCGGTTGAGGAAGTCCAAATGTGTGTGAAATACAACGAATCGTTCGATATCCCTATAAACTCAGTTAGATAGTTGAAGTGGACTGATGTTAAATGTTATCTTCGTCAGTTGGTACTGTTGAAGCTATTACGAGTTCACCTTAGTCGATAAACGCGAACGAGACAATTACCAAGGTCCAGGTAGGCTATCTTGAATTCCAAACTGCAAAACAGAATACTTGGTAAGCGTAGAAAGTATATTCTACAACATCCAGCAATCGCAATACAATCAAGCACACAACTCTCGTTTATTTATATATCATAGAAACGTCCTTGGGACAGTTACGAAAATAGCAGACTAAAATACACAGCAACCAATCACAGCCGTGGATTTTCCTGGGGAGAAATGAAATCTCAAGGTCAACTGATCAGCCCATGCTCACAAACGTTAAATCCAAAATAAGGCATTTATCAAGCGAGTTCTGTGGATCTAACATCCCTAACATTAACAGCGTAAGATGCTGGTTTAGTGGTCTAGATATTGAGCATTCTTGCTGAAGATCGCATACCTTCGGTTCGATCGCCGTGCAGGAAGATCGTGAATGCACACTGAGGATAAGTCACATATTAGGACTAGAAGGCTATCCAACGCTTTCATGTTTCTCATTCTGGTCTAACAATGAATGATCAACAATCTTCACAAGTGTATAATTCAAAATGTTATTAATGTATTGTATTGTACATTTCAGCTAATGTAATCGAATAATAATTACATAATCTTAGTTTTGCACTTCATGAATTCAGTGAAAACTGTTGACAATTTTATTCTCAACGCTTCAATACAAATTCTATGAATGGATCATACACAAATTGTTTTATATTACTTACTTGTGTCTCATAGTTGGAGTAGTGTGACTGAAATAAACAAGTAAACAATAAAAATGAACAATTTCATACTATCTATCTATCGATTCATCATTTCATTACACAATAAAATGAATTTTCAATGAAATTTTTCAACTGTCATTATAGTTTGATTATTTTTCGATACATGTTTATACTTTCTCTATTTTTGTAAAGGTTTGTAATAATTTTCTTGGTGATATGTTAGGAGCTTTAAACAGAGATAGGTAGTGGTCGTCAATGGAATCCAGGACGTGCGTTTCGTCCTATCTGAGGCTCGTCAGCTGGATGTGCCTGCATCTCAAGATATATATATATATATATATATATATATATATATATGTCAAATGATACCCATCAATCGCATTCCTTAAATATCATTGAGAACATTCAAACTACCAATACAAATGAGTTTCAGAGTTCTAGTTTTTACTACGTTACTTAACTTTGATGTAACCTTTAAACACATGTGTTTGAGATATTTGCTATGCAGCTAGCTACAGATTTCACTGCTTACAATATAATCATAAATTTTAATTTATATCAATGGTATTTCAATTCACAATTTTAAGCGAATTGATTCAAAATTAGAACATTTCTCATACATCTCGCATATGTTAAATTAAATAAATTTCTGATTATCAGAAATATCAAAAAAATAATTGATTGTTAGTTTTTATTTCACCATCGATTTTGACCTTAGTTTATTTTTATTTGTGATAATATACAAAGTGTATTTATTTAAAATTACACATGATTTGTTAATTACTAATGCTTAAACTACAGTAGAATTGTTCAACTGAAATCATCCATCATCCATCATGTAACACATCATAATAATATGACATTGACAAATTTTCAATGATCTATCAGATCAATATTGATTCAGTGCATTCACTTCTCATCAAATTCATTTTGATTTTGAATTGAAACAAACAAAAACGTCTTAATTAAATACACCTATTTGATGAGATATTAACGAATAATGATAATAATAATAATAATAATATTTGCAGATAAGGTTTGATTGTGTCATATGAAGAGATGACATGAATATATTCTAAATTGTTCAACACTACCTTGGTGGATCTCTTTGACCTATAAATAAATTAATATTTCAATAATAAATTTACTATATTATCGTTTAAATAGAACAATTATTTTTAAGTACTGAATATGATAAATATCATCTTTATATTGGATTATATATATATATGTAGAAAATGGTAAAAACAATCAAATTCAGAGTAGTGGATTGATTCACTAACCGAATAGTCATATTCTGTTCAGTTTGTCACAATGGGCAAACATTCTGTGTACCGATCTGTATTGACGATACGCTCATACACACACACATACATGCAACAATAAATGCGGATGAAGACGACCAATGTAACAGTACTCTCTATAGCAGTAGGCCACAATATACACAAGGGGAAACATTAAGATCTTTAGATACAACACAAGATGCAACAAGCAAATCACACTTGATAGATAAGTTATGGGAAAATGTGGAAACGTTTACATATCTGGACAGCATCATTGACAAACAAAAATGAATCTGATGCGAAAATGTAAAGGCATGGGATAAGCAAATCAAGAGCGGAATTTCTACAATGGAAAAATATCTAAAATTAAAAATAACTATCAACTAACACCAATGTCACAATTGTCAGTACAAATGTCAAGACAGTTCTGTTGTATAGAGCGAAAACTTGGAAAACCATGAAAGCCATCATCAACAATATACAAATGTTTATTAACAATGGTCTATGCAAGATACTGTGAATCCATTGATCAGACACCATGAGCAACAACCTATTGTGGGATAGGATAAACCAGATTCCAGTAAAGGAAAATATAAGGAAGAAGCGATGAAGGCGGATAGGACACATTATGAAAATCAATCAACTACGTCACGAGGCAAATCCTAACTTGTAACCCTAAAGGCGAAAAGAAAATAGGAAGACCAAAGAATACATTACGCCGACTATTGGAGACAAAAATAAATTACGTTTCCAAGTGATTAGCCATTAATATTCATCATTAAAATTACATGATCTCATTATCAGTATGGGATTGTAGTGTATTGAGTTTCATTGAAATCACAACGATTGAAAACCTAGAAGCACTGGACTGACGTGACGTTCTTATTGTTGGACTGCTCAGCGGCGCATATCAATGTCTCTGTATCCGGAACTCTAACCCAGGACTTCCTGTCTAGCTCACGAACACTTAACCTCTCATTAATTATCCCTTATACCATAAATCAAACTTATTACTTGCGAGCCAAAAATACTACTTGTTTATGCATCAATTGAAACTGATCGGTAGATACCAGTTGAAGCAGTATCAACAAATCTCACTCAACCTGTAATCAATAAATATTTTGGTACCGAGAATTTTATAAAACGTTCAAGTATATCGTCTCATTGTGACAAATCATTGTCAACTAACCATTCTGTCTGATGCATCAACCAACTATTAGGAATGATTGAACCTTGGTCTTGTCACACCACTGATTGCTGCTTACCAATTACTGTTAGTTTGTAGTGCCTCCACATTTATTTGCATTCGCTTACATTTAATTTGGTCGAGCCTTTCGATTAAATTTATTTAGCCAAGCCATTTGTATAACAATAACTTATATGTACCATTGGCTTTTATTATTGTGTGGTTTGTATGAGCTTGTACGACTGAGCATTGCTTACCGCCTGCGCGCATACTCATTCTATTCGCTTTAGTGTTAATCTCTTAAATACCTCAATGACTCAGATATCTTCCTATGTATATATACGAATATTTTAATCTTATTAATTCATTCGCACATTCGCTCGCTAGTGTGCCTGCCCTGTCTGCTTGTGGTCTGCTATCCCTATTTGTAGTGTGCCAAAATAAACGTACGTATTCAACACTTCGAGTTTACCTTCTGATTTATAAATCGTCAGACGCTATTTAGTAACAATTGTCTGGACGAGCTCATTACAAAGACTAAGAACACGTAGAAATTGGCCACCACAAGTTAAAAGAAAGTGATATATTTGTAAACGTTAAAAAATTAAAAATATTTTCTGTCATAGACGAATATTATTATTATTACTATTATCACACTCATACATGTTCTACTTTTTCAATAATTTCACTTACCTTGTACATGGTCAAATACAACAATGCCTACAATGATAAATGTAAAAGCCACTATTAATCTACTCAACATTGTTGGAAATGTCAATAATAATGAACAAGTGAACAGGTGTAACGTATATTTATAGGATTCCTTGTAAACACACGTTTGTTTCTTTGTTTTGTTTTTCGAAATTATATTTTGTTAATTTTATTTGTGTATTTTGTAATATGATCTATACACAATATGTATTTAATTTAACTGATGAAACTTAACACTATAAATTTAAGTTATAGACAAGAAAACTAAACATTAATTATTCTTATTTATTAAATTAATTTATTACATTTGTACACACGTATCAATGTGTTGTAATGCTGATTGCTACGTAGCTAGCTATTCAAATCCTACCGACGTCCGAAGTTAAATATTCCAATACGACCCAAATACTATTTATTCCCGAATCTCTTATATATCAGAACGCAACACTGTTGGATGGAGTCGTTTATTGGGTCGAATACAGAAGAGAGGTAGGTAGGAAGAAACAGAGTCGTGAAGTCTTACAGATAGTGCGTATTTATACATTTAGGTCGAATAGGAAAGAGCATCAAAGTCCGTGACATTGATAGTTTAAGACGACCAATAAGAGACAGACAACATTGAAGTATTTGACTTTGACAGTTAAAACGACCATAATTTTGACCAATAGGATAATACTTCCAAAAATAGTACTCTTACGATATTTGGTGAATATCCTAACACAATGACAAAAAAGTGTTTTGTGCAATTTCCTCTTTATCAACTAACATCAAGCAATCAATCAAACCTTGCATTATTTAGTAATTTGAAATATTATTTTGGAAAATGACTTAATCAGTTGTTATTTTTTGTGCTTTGACGATGTGGAACGGATAATTTGTCCGCTGATTATCTAATTAATAATAATGCACTTGAATACAACATGTGTTATCATTTTGCTTCGATTTGAGTTTGACAATGATTACAGACAGACGCAATTCAATTCTTAGCATCTAACGATTCTTTGTGCCTTTTTGAATGAATTAAAGTTTACGCCAAAACCATATAAAGTATACATATTTTGATAACATGTTGTAGTGCCTCCACATAAACTTGAGTTCGCTCATATTCAATTTGATTAAGCCTTTCGATTAACTTATGTAACCAAGCTATTTGTATAGCAACAACTCATATGTACCATTGATATTTTTTATTGTCTGGTTTGTATGAGCTTGTACGACTGAGCATTGCTTACATCGACGCGCTTACTCATCCTTTTCGCTTTAATGTTAATCTCCTAATATCCCTATGGACTCACATGACTTGTCTTGTTTGCTTTTGACCTTGTCAATCATTCGTCGCTTTTATTCATGTATGTACATGCCTATTTCGTTTGTCACATGTCTGTCGTATATTTGTCTGACTATATATTCTTATCCATGCCCTATCTCTTGGGAGTGGCTCATTAGCCTTCTCCACATCGATTCATACGATTCGCCCCAGTCGCTCATTTGCTCGCCAGTGGACACCACAGTGTAAAACGAATTACTACTTTTTCTTTGATTATTTGCTGTTATTTCCTTAAAATTTATTCTAAAGAATGGAGAGAAAAACTTGTTCGTCTGAATATCACGACCCGATGGTGCACATGAACTTCGGAATCCCTTGGTAATGAATAGTGTTAAATTTATCTTTGGTCATATAAATACGATGAGTTATGCCTTCTGACACTGAATAACTGGTTTTTGGATTAAACCTTTTTGATCGATAAACTGGAAAGCTGGTTTGTTAAGAAAATCATATGTTTCGATTTGAACAATCGAAGAGTATCTTAACCGTGCGTTAAACTTGAAGTAGGGCTAATCACTTTAGTGGTCAGCGATCTGAATTCTATTTTCTACGAACGTTTCCAGTATGCGATGAAATAAATCTTACCTTTATTTTCTGTATATTATAATTAAGTGAACCCCATTTGTGCGACGGCGGTAATAAGAAACCGAAAACGGATTCAGTCGGATGGATTTATTTCAGGTGATCTTTCATACGGGTAGACATAGGAATGGAAAGAGTGCGAGCAAACTGAAGCGAAATGAAGAAGGCGAGTGAGCCAATGCCAGTTATCCCCAATGGAGCATAAGCCGCCAACAGGTATTCTCCAACCTACTCTATCCTATGTCTTTTTCCCCAGTTCTATCCAACGGCGGCTTATTCTTATGGTGTCCGCTTCCGACTGCTGGAGTAGTGTGTTTTTCCAACTTCCTCCTTTCGTTTGACCTTGAGGATTCCAAGTGAGGGCTTGCCTCGCCATTCAGTTTAAGGATTTCCACAATGTATGTCTTACCCACCTCTGGTGCTTTATTTCTTCCTCTATTGGAATCTGGTTTATTCTATCACACAGTAGGTTGTTGCTCATGTTGTCTGATCAATGGATTTACAGTATCTTGCATAGACAATTGTTGTTAAACGCATGTATCTTGTTGATGATGGATTTTGTGTTTTTCTAAGTTTTCTCTCCATACAACAGAATTGTTCTGATATTTATACTGAAAATTCTGATTTTGGTGTTAGTTGACAGTTGTTTTTATTTCCATTTGTTTCATGCAGTGAAGTATGGTCGGACAAGCGACCAGCAAAATAAGCAGCACACACACTCGAATAAAATCAATCAAAATTAAAGTGTATGATTGACAAGGTCAAGAGATGAGTGAATAATGAACTGAAGTATAGTGGACTAAATAATTTGTCTAAATGCTGATACAAGTCCTGTGAGCCTGACATAAAAGTACACTTTTCCCTTCTTTTTTTCCCGAATGTTGCCTCAGTCTATGAACAATTCATCTATAATATCATAATAGTTTAGTGCATTTAATTTCTTGATGGAATGAAAAATCATGAATAATGGAAATATGATGTCGTTAATAGAATGAAAGATCTTCATACTTGAATGTGTTGATCATATTTGTGTAAATAATAAATAACATTATGGAAAATGTTTGTGTAACGTGTTATTTATTTGTTTAACTTTACACATTACAAATAAATTTAAGAATAAATAAAAAATTTTTATGAAAAGTAAAAGTATTTTCAACATTCTTTGAGAAGTTTTTTTTTGTTTTTTGAATGAAACATTGTCAACAAATTGAAAACTTTTGTTAAAACATCGCATATTATTACTCAAATTATTATATTAGTAATGAATGTCTGATTAACAACATAAACGGAGGGATAAAGTCAACTTGTAAGCATAGAAAGTGCTGTTGTTGGTGTTGATTAGATACAAACTATGTACGAGTCCAACTAATTGAAATAAAAGATAGAAAGTGATCAAATTAAATCGTATATTTTATATTGAATTTATTAAAAAAATCTGGAAGAACTCGAAGATCGTTTCATCTTGCCTAGTGTGTGAATTATCGCAAACAGCTCGCCCACAACTCTTGCTACTCGTGGGATTTGAACCCAGTACCTCGGGTCATGAGCTTGAACACAAGCTCTAGACAACTAAGCCGGCATTCAGCGGAGTTAATATCTAACTTCCATCAATCCACGGTTTGATCAATCTAAGGATTTTTGGGCAACTTCATCCATTGTCTTCAGTAGTTATTGTCTATACTCGACACGCTGGAACTGTACTGGTTATATCTTCTCACTGGAACTCAGGGAATTTCCTGACGAAGCTAGTTCATAGTGTGCACAATTTATAATTTGTTCACTATACAATTATGGAGATTGTTGTGTTTAGACCGAAATCATGAATGAATCCCTGTTAGTGAGAAGACATGATCAATCGAGTTAAACCCTGTAAGGTGTACTCAAGACAATGGGTGAGGTTGCGCAAAATCCTTAGATTGATCAAAGTGAGATGCTGGTTCAGTGGTCCAGATATTAAGTGTCCGCCCGCAAAACCGAAGCTCCCAGGTTCGAAGCCCGTGAGCAGCAGAAATCGTGGGTTCGTGCTTCTAATGAGAGTCTATTCTATGAATTATTGTTGTTTTCAGTAATTTTTCTGAAAAAAACTTATTCTGTTATTTCAATTGTGTATGCTGTCAAATGTGACAACAGTATTAACATTTTTGTACACATGTCATGTGACTCAATCTATTCAAGAATAAAATATGAATAGTTTCATTTGACATCTGTCTGTATATAGTAAGTAAATGATACTGATTCAATCAACTGAATCACAATGTATTTTTTATTGATTAAATGTATTTCAGTAAGCATAATATGGAATCTAATGAACTCTAATTTTCGTGCTATATTTTGAACATGTCAATTAGAAGATGGATTGTTTAAAATCATTATATCACCTTTGTGTGTATTTCAAGGTTTTAAAACACACACACACACACACACGCATAGTTTAATTAAATATCATAATAAGAAAACTTATTATAATTATTTTTGTGCGTGTTATTTTGCAAGAATTGGTGTCATTTAATGGTCATACTTCATGAATCGATTTTAGCTAGAAAAATGAATAAAAATTCGAGAATATTAGATAACTGTTTCTTTCTATGATATGCTCAAAACTATTACGAGTTCATCTTACTCGGTAAACGAAACGAAGGTCAACGATACAGGCTATTCTAATCCGTTGTCCCAGACCCTGTTAACAAAAGCAAGAAGTCTTGATAAGGCGCGAAGAATGTATTCTACAAGCACCCAGAAAACATGAGGTTTGCTAAGCACACAAATCAGGCTTATTTATACAATGATGACAACGCCCTTGGGAGAGCCACAAAATAGCGTACTAAAATAATAATACATCAACCAATGATAGTCAAGGATTTTTCGAGTGGGAAATGTAAGCTGAAGGTCAACTAGGCGTCTCTTGGCGCAAAAACATAAAAATTCAAATTTTTAGAATAAAATTACAAAGTTAGGACTTTTTCAAGTGAGTTCTGGGGATCTAACGTCCCCAATATTCTAATAGGGAACTGATCAGAAGTGTGCAATCAGGACTTCATTGCTGATTCAACCTAGAAGATTCATGTTTCGTGGCGATTGTTGATTCCTTAAACAACTGAGCCAGTATACAGTGTTATCTCAATTTAATTCATAATGTTGTACGG